TGACTTCCAATTTCTGGATTAGGTGAATATCACCCGTGTTTTCTCTGGCGCATTTGGGTTTGTTTCAGGTTAGGGACTTCCCAAACATGAATGGCTCCTGTTTGGTTTCCCTTCCTCAAGGGCCCGAAAAGAGGCATAGGGACGCGCCTATCTGTTCCTAGATAGGCGCGCTTTGCGAAAATTGCGGCGTTCACCATGCTTTTCTTTTTGTGAAGCAACTCACGAAATTGCTGGTGGTTTGGGTACAGCCGGGTGAAAACTGCGAACAAATTCGGTCTTGACCGTCCCTGCTTTTTGGTGACCCGGGCAACAGGAGCCAGCTGGTTGATTCATACTGTGGATGGTCGAAATCCTGTACCACTTTAATACCATGGGAAACCATATATTGTTTGTTGGTGTTTGCAGGGGAATCCTCGGAAACCAGGGTTTCTTAGGCAGTGTGACATGGATTTCGAAACTAACCACAGCAGGGTGTTGGACCGCTTAATTCAATGCAACATCGGGATTCTTATATTGCGGTGAATCAAAAATAGGTACTATGCACCCAAAATGAAACCCTGGTACATGGAACACGGACTACAATCTGCGGTCCAATTCCTTGTGGTTTAATTTTGACGCCTACCCATGGTCTAAGGGAGCCCAAGGCTCCCAAAACCAAGCCGAGGCGTCCTCGCTGTGCGGGCGCCTGGTTGTGCGTTTACTCGATCCCGTCGTGTGGTGCGGTGCGTCTCTTCGAGAGGCTCAGCGTCACGGCCAGAAATGCGCCATGCTTGTTGGTTGCTCTTTCGTATCTAGGACTTTTTTTTTGCATGCCTTAAAGCACAGCTGCTTTTGGGAAGGGTGGTTTCCCCTTAAACCGCCATTTTGAGCGTAGTTTGGAGGATGTCATTTGCAGCTTGACTGGGATCTTTGGACCAGCCCAAGTTTTAGGCAAGACCCGGCAAATCCCGCTTTCACCAAGATTGAGATGGGAACAATGGACGCAACATGTTTGACGACTCGGGCCACCCCCAATCCGCCTCACAGCCTTGACTGCTGCCATGATTTTGTTTCTGTGGGTCAATGTCAGAAACTGGAGCTGGTGCCTTCCAATCAATTCACCGCTTTGGGGGGAGTGACTTTGATTGATGGACAAAGACTGAGACCGGCTTAACTTCCGAGCTGCCTTTGCATGAACAGCTGCAAATCTATTCAAGTTCTTACCAGAACTTCTGGTGAAGCGCTCAGAGCACGGAAGGCTTGGTCTCAAGCAGGGCACGACGTTTGGCAGTGCCTGGCAAGACAACCCCACAGCTCAGCCTTGAGCCAGAAAGCATGCGGAGGCTTTCTGCTTCAAAGATGTGCAGTGACACTGCAAATGTTGACGCTGGATCTCAATAATTCCAGTTGCTGCAGAATTTCTTGTGAGTTTCCCTTTATGGTTGAAGGGAATCTATCAGGAGTTTTTTCAGGGGGCGCAAGCAAATGGAAGGTAATGTCAACGTCGGAGTAATACACCCTCCCCCTCCACCCCGTATAAGAGAAGGTGCTCTGCGGGAAAACGTAGCTGTAGGCGGCTGCTTTGCAGGATTCAGGACGCATCCGGAAGTTAGATAACCTTGTAATAACTCAATATATTTGTGGCGCGGGAAAATGGCTCTGCCGAACGCGCGGTATTAGTTAGGGGTTCATGAAGCCCACGTCAGAGCTTAGAATTGTTTAGCATTGGATCCCGAACACGCGCCTCAGCGATCGGTGGTATGTAGCAATCCTATGTTGACAGTATAACCCGTCCTATCAATAAAGCCCTCCAATAGTGACGAATCCCTCACAAGGGGACACCGCCTATTCATCAAGCAGGGCTTTATCTTTCCGAGGTCAACTTAAAAGAAGCTGTCAGTGAGGCGGTATCCCAATGGTTGCGATTTCTATCATAAGGGAAAGACTTTCGGAGGCGATACATACTGCCAATACGCTACGAAGCAGACCTCCAGAACAAGGCACGCCAAACCTTGAACCGAAGCTTCGAGCAGATTCCTTTCGAATCTTTGAGCGGTTGGGAGCCTTTGGTTCTAGTTTTATGCAGTGATCATATAATACAAGGTTTGTGTTTTCAGGTGTTTTTTCCTTTTGCTGCGTGGCTTTGTTCGCACTTCCCATAATGCAATCACCCCCTAAGAGGTAGGTTAAACCACACGGCCTCAGTTTCTGACTTGGATCGGCCACACGCTAGCAAACCTGCTGAACATATTTGACATAAGTTCTGCTGAATGAGAGCCAGAATCACACATGGGTGTGCCTTTTTGCAAGTGACCCCCCCAACAAATCCCGGTTTTCCTTAGAAACCTGCCCTCAAAAAAAACACCCACATCGGATCATCGCTGATATTTCGATGCGAGGCCGGAGCAAAGCCGCGTCCATGAGCCCCCTTGGGAGCCGGTCGCCTTGTGGCCCCGCCGCGCTTCGAGGGGAATCCGCCGAAATGGTCCGCCGACCTGTGGATATGGCTGTGGGTCAAAAATAGGTACCCAAAATGGGGTCCTTGTAAATGGAAACAGCGGTCCTGTAGTGGTCTAACTTTGACCCATACCCATATCCTTTCCGTTTCCGGTTGGGCGATGTCCTCTTGCGCATTCGCCAAAAAGGGCCGCGGGGAATTGTCTTCGACGGAAGGCTTGGCAACTTCCAACTTTGCATCGCCTGGTTCAAAAGCTTCTGGACCTGTCACACCTTCCCTGACCTCCTCCAGTAAGTTTCTTCCCTGGTCTTGCTGGTGCGAGAGGCAGGGGAAGGAGAAATGGAATGACCCCGAGATGAACCATCCCCGATTTGGTTTCCTTTAAGTAGGGAATCCCCAGGTTCATTCCATTTCTCATTCCCCACGGAGCACCAGCAAGTTGTGGTTTTCGGACTTGCCAAATCTCCCGGGATTTGGCACCACCCTGAATCTCTGACACCCGGTCCGACCAAAACGCGCAAGAACGGGGCTGCTGCGAGCCGACCCGGGCGTTGTGTGCGTTATGTGTGCGTTTCTTCCATTTGAGTTGCCCTCCCACCAACTCATATGGAACCTGACGTTTGGGGGGTCCTGGAAGACCCTTTTCCTTTTTTAAAGGGACCCCATGTCAGGTTCCAGGGTAATCGGTGGGAGGATAGCTTCAAATTACCGTCATTTACTGTCTGTGGGAGTGATTTTAAGTTTGTGCGCTTGGGGCTCCGAGGCTGTTAAAACCGGCATCACTTCACAATACGACATTGGTTTCCCTAACTGGGTACAGTGGTCCAACCCTTGTACCAGGGCCAGTGGGTGTAATTGGGTGTAATTGGAAGTTCTTGGAGGTTTTGGGGTAGGGCTTTTGAGGGCCAAAAGGAAACCACGCGTTTAGAAGGTTTGGTTCCAGAGAAAGCGAGACATCCACCTAATCCTAGGTGTCCCTTTTGGACATCGACTAGTTGTTGCGCCCGCGGGTCGCATGCCAGGCAGCTTCCCATCATGAGGTTGGCGACGCTTGGCTGGACTTAGGCTCGCAAGCCTTGCCAGCTGCCGTGTTTGTACAAACTCAAATAAACCAAATAGGGGGCTCCCCAAATAGGGGGCTCCCCCATTTGCCCGCACGGGGCCACCGAGAAAAGTGTTTTTGCATGTTGGCAGTGCGGGTCGGATCCGCTGAAAGATGCTCTGTTTGGTGTCCAACCTCAGGTCGAAACAACTCGAAACTCAGTCAAAAAGGGTCAAACTTCAGGTCAACAAAACACGCTTTGTGTTGAAAGAACAGGCCCCCCCCCCGTCCTGGTTTGGTTGCTCCTGCTACCTTCAGCTTTCTCGCCTTTTGGAATGCACATGTCCGTCCCAGTGATTCCACTTCCTGTATGGTGGGCAGCAAAAGGAGCCCTTCGATAAACAACAACCCCCCTCCCCCCCGCTTGCCGCGACACCCCAACCACACCAACCCTCCTGCAAAGACTGAAACAGATCAAACTGGGCGTTTTTTGGGACTGTGGTTGCGGGGGCCTGGGAAAAATCCTTCGCCGTTTTTTTTGTTCCCCCGTTTGGCTCGGCCCAGGAACATGCTCGAGACCTACTTTGTGCTCCGTGAGGTTCGGATGGACACCGATTTCTGGGAGAGCCCGGGCGCTGTCTTGGGGGCCTGAGGCGGCTGTACGGTAATGTAAATACAAGCATTTTTGTATGATGTACTTTTGTTTTGACGTGCAAGGTTGTGTATTATATATATAGTTGCATAGCTTATAAATATATCTTTATATAAGGTCATATGTACACAACATGCGTACGTAGCATTTACACGATCCTATGTGCAACTGCACCTCGGGAGCTCTCCGCTGGTTTGGTTTGGGGGGCAAAGGCTTAAGATGAGCTCTCCCCCGGTTCGGAAATGCCCCGGGTTCCGTGGGCATTTGTTGGCCCCGAGGTTGGCCCCGGATGAAAAAAAGGCCCGTGGAGGATTGCTAGGGTGGTGTTCCGGAATTCCCAAGCCCAGAGACCGGAGAGGGACATGGAAAAGCCCATGGAAGATCACCAGGGTGGTGTGTTCCCGTCCAAAGTGATTCCCAAAGGGAGGGACCCCCCATTGATGAATCCGGGCTGAACTCAACCTGCCAGAGGTTCTGTGAAGAGGGAAGACCGGTCTTCCAGGAGCGCATGGTGAGTTTCCATGGTTCAGTATTGATGCGAGTGGTGTTCGCCTCAAACTGTTTTTGCTGGGCATCTCGTTCGATCGAGAGACTTGTTATGCCTCAGTAAGAAATAGGATGGGCTTGTTATTTGGCGCTTCCAAAATTAAGTCACGACGGGAACTGTATCTAGTTGCAGCTGCTTGTTTCAGGCTGGCCGCTGTTATGCGATTTCCGACCTGCTGAAAATTGACCTCTGGCCAGGACTCGTGCTGGTTGAAGCGCCTTCAAAAACTGGTTGGTGGGCGTAAATCCCAAAAGGCCCATTTTCAATAGGCACTACCGCGGGAACGCAGCGTTTTTTGTGTGCCTTATCGCGGCATTGTCATAGCCAAGTTTCGGCTCAACATTCCAGCGACCCAAACACGGGAGCAGCCGAAGTGCGCTTTCGATCATGCGGAGCGCCTTAGCTTGGAACGTGCTAGCCAAGACTGAGGTCTCCTCCACAACTCTGCAATGTTGGACGAACTATGTAGCAGAATCAGCACGAATTTTGTTGGAAGTACTCCAGGCGTGGGCCAAGAAAAAGCAAGTGTTCCCTTTTTGCCTTAGGCAGGCTTTGGCCATTTTCGGCAGCTTTGCTCTGGTTTTGTGAAGTTTTCCCGTGCGTAACAACCAACCACGCACCCAGAAGGCGAGTGAGCTTTGGTCATGTTCTTGAACCTACTCCTTGGCCATGGGTTTTCAGAACCCTCCAATCACCCCAGAAGGTTCGCATCGAACCATTCCTGGGTTGTGGGGGGAGCGTGTCAGAGCTCGTTGGTTTCCCAAGTTGGCGGCTCATCTTTTGGGTTGCCCGTTCCCTTGTTTTGGTAATTTTGCACAGAAATCCAAACGGGTGTGGGTCAAAAGATGGGTACCCCAAATGGAACCCTGGTAAATAGAAGCAAGGACTAAGACCTGCGGTCCCCTGGTGGTGAAACTTTGACCCATACCCAAATTGTGGGCCGCTGGCCCTTTCGGAATCTAAGCTCTGCTGATTTCCGATGTCAGCCCGATCCTGCACAGCCCCCCCTTTGTCCGTGTTGTCTTGCGTTGCACAAAACAAATTGCAGCAAAAGGGCAAGTTCATCCTATGGCGTTCCCAAATCGGCCTTCCATTTCTTTTGAATATATGAAAGGTGTTTCTAGTAACACATACTTAACAAACAATACAAATAATTCTAATATTTGGGATACAAACGTAATATGTGTTTGTTTTACACAATTTGTGATACATATATATATATAATCACATCCAATATCGTAAATAGCATTAGCCCTAATAAACTTTGCAGGAGTTACTCAAGTGTCTCCAGTAGTAAGTCTGGAACTTGTTGACTTTTTTTTTGTTTTTTTAATCCAGAGCATTTGGTGAAAGAGTTGAGAGCAAGCTATCTTAAGGTGAGAGCATTTAATTGTCTTTATCCTTCTTTAGTTGAATCAAATCCAGGAAGAAATGATCGACCTGAGTTTCAAGAATCAAGAAGAGCAACTGTAAAGATGAATTATATACATGAATGCGTGGGACAATTGTATGCAGTAGATTTGTACCGTAAATATCTGTAACATGACTATTTTTGAAGTTAAGTCAATTTATTAGTTATACTTTGATTATGAATCTTTCTTTTTGTTTGTTTTGATCATTAAGACAAATTGAGTATCACCTGCTTGTCAGGCTTAGAGCCCCTTTCTGGTGGAAGAATCGCACGGGGGCCGTTCGCTTTTCCAACCATCTGCAGTACCTGTTTTTGGAGCCATGTTCTTCAACATAGCGCCCCCCCCCCTCCCCTCTCCCCCCACCCCCTCCACGAGGGCTTGGCTTCCTGGTGGTTTCCCACGAAACCATCCACCCATTGGCGGGACTACCTGTTTGTTTCAAAGCCCTCGCACCCACATCTCATGTCTCTACACTTTGGGCCTCCCCACCTGAGGCTCCGGACTTGTGCTACTCCTCGCCGCAGCTTGGCGGTGACCCGATCGGGTCTTCGGTCTCCGAGAGATCTGATGACTTGTCAATTTTCGGGGTATCTCACAAGTCACTGGTCTTCCAGGACTTACCATTTCCTTTAGTTGGTTTTTTCTTCTCCCCTTGTTGGTTTTCAAAGGAATTCATCACTTCTGGATTTTTTATTTTTATTTTTATTTTTTCCTGGGGCCTTAAGCAAATGGAGGATTCTAGTGGACAGGGCATCTGAACACATGAAGCAGGATCATGCAGGATAGTCTGAACTTCCCTGCCAGACTTAGCTGACCATTTTGACTTTTGCCTGTCTTTCCTTCATGGTGCCTTTCAACCAGCAAAAAGATAACAACTGGTTTGCAGGGGGTCTAAGTCTGTGGTCAACATATGACTGTTCATCCCCCAAGTGATGTGCAGAGGGCCTAACTGAAAGATCACACCCATGCGGTGCATTTCAATAGGGCGCCCAATAAATGGTTGGTTGGACGCAAGGTTGGGGCACCATTTGTTGAAACCATTTGGTCCACGTGAAAGGGAAGCCAAAAAGGCTGTTTAAGCAATACTGTGCGGCTATTTGGTTGGATCGTTGGATTTTAACTCCTTCGGAAATGATGGACTTTCCAATGGATATAAACCTTTTGCCGAGGGGCCAACAGCAACCAAGAATCGTGTTTTGTTTGTTTGTGGCTTGACCAAGCCTCGTTGGAAACACTGGGACACGACACGCATCAACGTCAGGGTCACTTTGGGGTGCGTGAAAGGGAACACCGAAATCCCGTTCTTGGGGTCCCCACTTGTCTTGAGACCTTCTTAGCAGGCTGACACAAGAGTTTGGGACTTTCTGCCCCCCTTTGTGTAAGTGGGATCTCTTTTGACCTGGGATTGCATTGTTCGCGGACCAGGGACCAGACCAAACATACTGTGGGTTGACGAAAACCATTTCACACCAGTTCGGAAACCCAGGAATGATTCGATTCCCCTGCAATTGCCAACACCCGTTATGGTTTGAACCATGGTTTCACAGTGGTGCGAAATGGATTTTGTCCATCCACAGTATGACCGTAGGTGTATCGTAGGTGTCCTTTTTGGGAACTAGATTCGTTTCCCAGTTGGATGTTTGTTTGAACCACCAGGCAAAACACAAACTGAAATCGCCCTCGATTCTTCAACCAAGCCAGGACCGGGCCAACAAAGTTCACTCGGGGAATTCACAGCAACTTTCATGTAAAAGTGGGTGGGGGGGGGGGGGTTGGGTTCAAGCGGGGTTCAGCCAGACCACGGGGCCCCATACAGGTGCCTTTAAACAAACTCCTCTGTCCGAGGCTCCGGCGCTCGTTGCGGGCGACACGGACGCCATCAAGGTGCGGCAGTGGGCTCCCCTTGAACTCAACCAAGCCCTTGGTGTTCGCCATGAGCAACCATTTGAGTCGCTGAAAGGGAGGCCACAAAGCTTGTGTAAACAATACATTATGACTGTCTGCGACGGATCTTTGGACTTTATCACTTTTGTTTGAAATCTTATGGGTTCCTAATTTGAACCAGAAAAGGTTAAACATACTTCGTGCAGAGGGGTCAACATCAACCAAGCTTTTCGGAGGGTGAAGCCATTTCGCGACACCATTTGAGTCACTGACACTGTCCACCACATTGGCAGGTACTTTCGAAGTGAGTTTTCACTGAAAAGACATGGGCTTGTTTTCCGTGTGCAGGTTGATGTAAATGGGTTCACGCAATGCATGCTTTTCTTGTGGCGTCCCTTTCAATTGTTGAAAACATATTACACACCATAAGCACCTGGCCTTCGCGTAGGGTCATTCTTGTGGCCACTTGCGGGTGCGTGCGCGCGTGCGCGCGTACATGTGCATGTGCATGTGTATGTGGTGTGTGCGTGTGGTGTGTGTGTGTGTGTGGTGTGTGTGTGTGTGTGTGTGTGTGTGTGTGTGTGTGTGTGTGTGTGTTTGTTTCTCCGCAGGCCCAGATCCAGACGCTTCGGAGCCAGCTGAAGTCCCAGCGCGAGCAGATTGAGGACCACCCGCCGGGCCAACCCTTTCAGCTGACGGCTGAATTCTGAATGTTGCGGGGCTTCTCAAAGATTACCTTTGGGGCGGTTGGCCTCCAAACCACGTGATCTACAAAGAGTCGTTTGTTTTTTTTGGAGGACATGTCACCTTCGATAAAGAAACATGGTGAACACATACATATATATATATATATCTCAAACGGAACCCCAGACACCTGCGCCGACTTGGGCGATCCACGGATCGCATCATGGTTCCCCCCATCTCCCCCGGCCTCGCGACGCGCTCGCGCCGCGCGCCTCGCGACGCGCGCCTCGCAGGAGCAGCAGCAGCTGCTGACGGAGGCGGATGGCCGGCGCCTGCAGACCCTGGTCACCCAGACCACCGTGGACACCCAGGCGAGCGAAGCGGCGCACCGTGCGAGGGGAAGAAGCGGCGGGTGTTGGGTATGCTGCCACGTGTGTTTTTGGTTGTTGGCGAAAAAGGGGAAGCCACGAAAGAAAAACGGCCATATTTGTTCACTTGCCTGGACTTTAAACTTTATGGGAAGGACATAGGCGTCTCGGCTCTGGGGTTTGCCCGAGACCCAAGCGTGGCCTGAATAGCTGAGCCCGCATCATTTTCCTGCGAAGCCATAGTGCGATCCTCTGAAAGCGCCTTCCATAGGCGTGCCAGACGCAAACGCACTCGTGCAAGGATCATACTCATCCTCAACAGCAGGTCGCCGCCGGAGGTCAACCGACACACTGTCAGCTGGGTAAGCTAAGAGCACACCACTCTTGGAACAGAAGTGCATACATGCGCTGGCAATGCATGCAATGCTCTGGCACCAATGGTGAGCATGCCGAATACTGCGGAGGATGTGGATCACACTGGTCCAACTGGGCAACGCCCATGACATGGCACCAGCAACGCCAGCCCCGCAAGGCCTCGAGGCCACCACCCACGTGGAATGCCAAAGGCAAAGGCAAAAACAAGAAAGGCAAAGGGAAAGGCAAAAGCCGAAGCCCTTCAGCAACCAGCAACAAGCAACGCAGTGAAAAGGAACCAGAGAACCCTGCGTTTCCCAAGCCGCCACAAAGCAATGCAAGCCATCGAGCCAGGTCCCCAACTGCCACGTATCAATCCCAGCATGGCAACACAGGATGTGACAGTCCTGTGACGACCACCAGTTGGGAGGATGTCACCAGTGCAGCAAAGGAGGACTTCAAGTCGGACCTACAGCAGAAGCCAGTCAAACCTGACATGACACCAGTCAAGGAGACAACCCTGCAGACCGACAAAACCAAGCTGCTCGAGGCCATAAAGCAAACATACGCCAAAAGCACTGCAGAAAGCATCACAGCCATCTTAGTACAAGACGAAGATGAGAAACCAGTTCCATCACAAGTGCACAAAGCAGGAAGACAGTTAGCAAAAGCACAGCGCAATGCAACCAAGGCAAGAGATGCACTCCACGCCCTTGATGAGTCATGGACTGCCTTTGAGACCAGCATTAATGCTCGATACAAAGAACAGTGCCAGGCATACAGCTCAAGCAAGCAACAGTGGACCGAGGTGCTCAACAAAGCCATGGATGATGAGAAAAGCGCCACAAGCCAACTGCACTCCCTAGCTGCACAGATTGAAACCAGAGATGATAAGCTTCTGTCACAGGACAGCACGGCTCTATCCGAGCTTCCAGGCCTCCAACTACCGCCAGCACCTACGCCCATGGAAGTTCAAGAGGACCAGGATGATGACCCAATAGAGCCTGTCACACCAGCAGAAGCACCAGACAAGCCAGCACAGCTTGAGGACAAGCAGAACAAAAGCAAAAAGGCCAAAGATCGGGGTCCCAAGGAGCCCCCGAAGAAGAAACCAAAAGCAGACGAAAAGATCAAGCAGTCCCCACTCCAGTTCAGGCAGAATTCCGAGCCCCACAAGCGTGAGCGCAGCAGATCTGCCAGCCACAACCGCTACGCATCGCTGCAGCAGAACGGAGATGAGGAAGAAGATGAGGATGAGAAGCAGGGATAGTGTGCTTTATGAGTGATGCCATCCAGGAAGCATCACTCAGGAATACCCATAGACCTGGAAATTGTCCAGTTGACAGCAACCGTGAGCAGCACAAAGAAAATGCCGCTGTCACTGTGAGATTTAACACCACTCATGAAACCCTGTTTTTTCATCCCAAAGCACCCCTGAATAAAGGGAGACCAGAGGTAACCAGCAATGCCAAATTGCAGTCGTGTCTCAAAAGCCGCAGCCGTGTGCCTAACCCAAGCTCCAGTGACAGCATGCGGACCATCCACCTATGGAGAGCCGATGCTCAATCTACTCGCCCTCAACGTGTCCTTGTGCCTAATGCCTGTGAAGATGTACTGTTTCAGTCTATTCTGGAGCGTGTCACAAATACGGAGGATGTCAGGTACGTGAAGATTGACCCCGAACCGATAACGTTGGGATGGGGAGCTGAGAAACCCATCAAAAGCGAGACCATTGATGCCTACCTGGCCTGGTCTCCTCACCACTTCCAGTGGATGAGACACCGCATGCTTATTCCGGCACTGTTGCAAAATCACCACAAGCACTCACCTGGAGCCCCGCATCGGGTCACCCACTGGCCCATTGCCCTTCCAGCACAGTGTACCCGCGACCATGTGCTCCAGCAAGCCCTTGCAGGGGAATATCCAGATCCCCACATGCAGGTCCACATAAAGACTGGAGGATGCCTGTGGCCAGAGAATGACACCCGTGTGCGAGATCTACACTCTGGCATCCTGGTCGAAGCAACATGGGGACACATTCCCGCACCAGTCCATTTCACACCGAGTACAGGAAGCAGGCCGGCCGACCATGTTGATAATACGCCCACCAAAGAAATCTTGAATAGGATCAATGTAGACAATGCGCTACAACTCACCACTCAAGTTCTTGATCAATGGCCCAATCACATCATTTCCCTTGATACAGAAAATATTCCGTGGCACCAGTCCACTATGGAGGAGTTCATGTACCTCAGAACATGTCTGGACCAGGAACCCATTGGTGTCACGTTCTACACTGATGGTACATTCAGAGATCCAGTTGAGGACGAAATCTGGGGCAAAGGATCTTGGGCTGTTGTAATGTTGTGGAACATGCCGGATCAAAGTCGGGTATGGGGAGGACACATTGTTGGCCACACACATCAGCCAGATAGTGCTTTTCCAGTTGAACTTGAAGGTCTAATGTGTGCATGCCTGTGGGCAATCCAAATTGTGGCTCATTTTAGTCCTGAAATTGAAATCACATTTCGATATGACTCCAACGAAGCTGGAAGAATGTGTCAAGGCAGATCACGTACCACCAGCAAGCATGCGCTTGGCAGTACTGCTCGTAGTCTGTTCCAACTGCTTGAAAATTGGAGAATGCCAGAATATATCCATCATTCAGGTGAACCCTTCAATGAAGCAGTTGACGTCCTTGCTGGTCAAGCCTGTGCAGGCCGGATCCAAGTGAGTAGCAGACACATCACGCAGATCCTCTGCCAGTTGCGTGAGGATTCGATCAGTTGCCAATGGATGTGGTTGGTGCACAAAGCTGCGTGGAATGATCCATCACTTCCACGCCTAGACACCACCACACGTGAACTGATAATCCCCCCAATGCCTGAAATTTTCATTCAAGGAATTGCCGATCAATTTGCAAAAATGCGTGTCAATTCAAATGCTCCTGAAAGGCAAAAAGAATTGGGAATAAATGTAAGCATCAAGTACTGCACGGCCAACGTACTTACACTACTGCCCGGGTACTTCCAAAAGGAAGCCAAAAAGGCACATCCCAATCGTGAGCCCATTGCCAATCCCAGAGAGATATTTCTCATGCAGCAGTTTGCTGAACAATGTGTCAACATATCTGGACTCCAGGAAACTAGAGCGAGACATGAGTACTCTGGAATGTACAAAGGATGGTTCCGACTAAGTAGTGCAGCCAAAGAAGGCAGAGGTGGCGTTGCCCTTTGGGTAAACCTTGAGGTCCCCTTTGGCCATGACCGCTTAGGCAAACCCAATTTCTTTGAGAGTGACCACTTCAAAGTAATTCAGGCTGAACCAGAGCTCCTTGTAGTAAGAGCCAAAAATGCCCACTACAAGAGCATCATTGTTCTGGCGCATGCCCCTGTTCAGCAGCAGGATCAGGAGCCATATCGCATGTACTGGGATAGAATCGTTCAATGCACCAACAACTATGATGCGTCATGGGACATAGTGTTGCTTGCCGATGCAAATGCCACACTTGGCGACCATGTGATGCCCGAGCAGCATGGAGTGATAGGATCATATCAAGGCCAACCCACATCCCCCAGTGGTGTTGCCTTTTCAGAAGTAGTACAACGCCTTGGCCTGTGCTTACCTTCAACCTTTGAGGGACTCCATCAAGGTACACCCTACACATTCACAAGTCCAAAGCTGACCCAGCATAGGATTGACTATGTTGCTGTTCCCAGGTCGTACATGCATTACGCTCAGATGCAATCTTGTGTTGAGATGCAGGTTGACTTACAGATTAACAGACCTGATCACCAGGCTGTTACCTTGCATTGTCAATACACCAGTGTCCCCCATAGGTGTGAGGACAAGCCAAGACAGGCACTGCCGTACAGGAGGCCAATCCCGGCCTGCTCTGATGACGTGCAAGTGTGGCGCAAAGCCCTTCGCGCTGTTCCGGCTAGTGTCCCTTGCGCCGAGAGCTGCTTCACACAGAATGTGCACCAACATGCCTTTACCATAGAGCAAGGCATGAAAGAGCAAGCCACTCATTCGCTGCCCAAGCAGAAGAGTAAGGTAAGACCATATCTAAGTCAGATTACAATTGACCTCTTGCATGAAAAGCGCCGCATCCAAAGATGTACCAACCGCTCATTTCTTCAGGAACGTTATCTGTACATTGTGTGCTGCTTTCAGGCATGGAAAGATGTCACCACGCCCTCGCCTGCATCTTGTGCACTTAAGCAGATACACCATAAGATTGCCATTCAGATGAAGCAGCTCAAGCAAGTGCGCCAGGCATTGCACCAAGCAATGCAGACCTGCCGAGCTGAATATGCCGAGCGCATTGCTGCCAATGCTCGCAATGCCGAAAGCCACGGTGGCATGAACGACCTATGGAAGGAGATGCGACCCTTGCTTCCCAAGTCCAAACAGATGAAGAACCGCAAAGCAATGCCAATTGCTGCAGTGTCCGATCAGGCCCTTGAGTACTTTGCAGAAATTGAAAGTGGGAAAGTTGTTCAACCTGAAGAACTAGTGCAACAGTGCCAGACCTCGCAAGACTTGCTCACAACAAGTGGCACCATTGCACTTGATGACTTGTATACGAAAGTACACCTTGAAACTGCAATGGCTCGTGTCAAATCAGGCAAAGCCCCAGGCGAAGACCTGCTTGTATCTGAGCTATTCTCGATGGCCAATGTTGAGGCAGCCCACTTATGGTTTCCCCTGATGTTGAAGGCCAGCATATACGCCCATCAGCCTCTCACTTTTCGGGGTGGTACCCTAGTGTCGCTTTGGAAATCCAAAGGACCCAAAGACCAGATCACCAGCTATCGAAGTGTTTTGACTGCATCAAAATGCCACCAAGCTATCCAGAGAAATCAGCTAATGCAGCAAATTGGCCACCGAATGCCAGTGGCCCAGCTTGGCGGAAAGCAGGGCAGCCAGCCATGCTTTGCATCTCACGCAGTGCGCACCTTTCTGCAGATTGGTAGCATAAAGCATAAATGCTGTGCAGTGTTATTCCTCGATGTCAAATCTGCCTTTTACAAAGTCATACGAGAAGCCGCTGTAGGATCTCATCGCACAAGTGATCAGTTTGCCTCGCTGCTTGAGACCCTCGACCCGTCCATGCATGAACAGTATGCCAGCTTGCATATCAGTGAGCATCCGGAAATCCTGAATGTCATATCCAAAGTACTACTGCAGCAGCTCAAGGATGGCCAAAATGCCACATGGATGCGAGATATGCTCACTGGCCAAATTGCAAGTAGCCGCCAGGGGTCTCGTCCAGGAACACCCCTGGCTGATGCGCTTTTCAATGTGGCTGTGGCTGCAGTTGTGAATGACATACAAGCCGATTTTGAGATCTGGGATCTATGTACTGACATTCACCTCCCGTCTCAAGTTGCCCCTCAAGCATTTCCCACCCTCACCTGGGTAGATGATGTGGTTGCTTGCATTGAAGCCTCCCCTGAAGATGAAGTGCTTGACAAACTAGGCAAAGCTGTCAACATAACTGAGGCTGCCTTTCAAAGTGTAGGTCTTTCCATCAGCATGGACAAAGGTAAGACTGAAGCCCTGATTCAGTTTGCAGGTCCCAAAGCGAAGACAGCCCGAAGAAGACTCCTTGTTGAAAATTCATCAGTGCTGCAAGTTGCCAAAAATGAGGGGAGCAGTGTCAACTTGTCAGTTGTGCCTTCATACTGTCATTTGGGAGGGTTGGTCACGCCAGATGCCACATTGCGTGAGGAAACACGGAGACGTGTAGCACTTGCTGCCCAGGCCTTGCACCAATTGAGGATTGGAGTCTTCAAAAGCAAGGGAATCTCGGTCGTTGCAAAAGTAACCTTTGTTGAAGCCACGGTCTTCAGTAAACTCCTTTATGGCGCACAGGCATGGGGAGTGCTTGATGGTGGCTCTGCAAAGGCCATCAGTGGCTTTTACATGAAAGCTCTCAGGGCTGCCACAGGTTTGTGTGTCACACAATATGGACAAAAGCATTCGAACCTGTATGTCATTGCCAAAGCCAGATGTCCGTCTCTAGAGTGGCAGATGCGTAAAATGAGATTGCGGTATCTTGTTCACCTTCAAACTGGTGCCCCTGCCTTCTTGAGTCAGCTTCTGTTGAATGAATACAAAGTCAATGAGTCGCGCGCCTGGTTGACCCTTGTCCAACATGACATCGAAGCTGTTAGAGAAGTCCTGCCTGATGCATTTCATGGCTTGTCCACCACCTATACTTGGGTCCAGTTGTTCACCTATGCTGCTAAAAGTAGCAATGCGTGGAAGAGGGACACAATAAAGGCTTGTCAAGTTGCTGTCACACAGCTGACCTTGCTGGCTGACCTGGAACACTGGCGCGAAAATTTTGATGGTGCAATCGGACAGATAGGTTTTGCAGGTTGAGCGTAGGCAACCCGACACGCCGACATGTCCACTTGGTCACAGATGTGACTTGTGCGGCAATGAGTACCCCACCCGACAGGGGCTCTCGGCCCATCAGTGGCATGCCCACCAAATTTCCTCCGAGACACGTGCATACACATATGCCTCTCACTGTGTTGTATGTCTCGTTGAATTTCACACATCCCATCGGGTCAATGTTCATCTCCGGGAGAACCCTCGCTGCATGCAATTCTGCTTGCAGAATTTAGAACCGCTTACAGGGCCCCCGGTTCACATCAAGCTTGATGGCAGATTCAAAGGACACAAGAGGATCCCTTGCATTCTCCTGGAAGGTCCGAGACTCCCTAACAAGCTTGAGTGGAGGCAAAGCAATGCCAAAGACTATGCCCCAGAAGAGATCGATCTCTTCTGGCGGGCGGCACCGGCCCTGCGAGCACGCCGGGACACACGCAATCCCAACATGCCGGGCAGGAACCTGCGCAAGGCAGGACACACGCCCAACACCTCTGTTCATCAAATAGATGTGATGACTGCACAAGATGACAGCGCTACCAGGTCCACTGCCCAGGCGCCAGTGGTACATCCTCTTGCCATGAATTTCCAAGGGGTTCGTACATACTTTGTGCTTCACCTCTTCTCTGGCAGAGACCGTGAGGGCAGCATGCGCCGCCATCTTGAAGAAATGAGTGTTGGGCAGTCATTTCGCATCTTTGTCATTTGCCTTGATGTAGTCCACAATGCAAAGTTATGTAACCTTGCTTCTGATGAGTTAGTTGCAAAAATCCTTGCACTCATCCGTAGTGGTCACATTCTCGGTGCACAGGCAGGACCGCCATGTGAGACATGGTCACGTGCCAGGGAGGTGAAGATAGCAGATAAGCCCAATGCGCCCCGTCCACTCAGGAGTGCCCATCAGCCATGGGGACTACCCTCCCTACGCTCCAAGGAATACAAGCAACTACAGATTAGCAACAAACTCCTGCAAACCGCACTGCTTGTTGTTGCACACCTGTACGCATGTTGTGGAGTGACCATTACAGAGCATCCCGGTGAGCCCTCGGAAGCACGTCTTCCTTCCATATGGAGGCTTGCTCAGGTTACCCTTCCTGGAGTCGAAAAGGGGCGAATATATCAGCGTCAGTGGGGCCAGACAGCTGAAAAGCCGACTGACCTGTTGGTGACCCACCTGCCAGGTTGGGAGCGAATCCTTGCATCCACAAAGTTGCCCCGAAGTCAGTGGCCGGCAAAGGAAAGATCTATTGGCATAATGGGGAAGCCTTTTGCACATCCCGGTTGAAGGAATACCCAAACTGATGTTGCTGAGATTTCCTCCCAAAGCATGCTCATTGAGTATGCCAACATGCCGCTGGCACAAGAAATTGGGCCGGATTATGCGGCTGGGGTAAGCACATGAAAGCATGTGCGTAATTAATGCAATCGCTGCGTTCGACAGAACTCTGTGCGCATGGAATGGAATGGAATGGAATGGGAAGGACATTTTAGGAGCAAATAGAAAGTCTCGACTTTTGTTGGCCCATCCACTCAGGGAGTGAGTTTTGGGGTCGCCCGATTTCCTCACTATCAAGTAGCTCATGTTCGCATCAGAGAAAGGGTGGCTTCCCACAACCACGTTCCTCTCAGCCCGAGTGCAAAGTGCAGCAACAAGCCCTTTTGCTGGTTCTGCCTACTCTATGGTGATCTTAGGGGTAAAAGACCGAGCTTGAGCTCGCCCATGATATAAGTTTTTTTTCTTAGGTCCCTTGTTCTAGGTGAACAGATGGAAGAATTGTAATTGTAAAATTTGCGAATTAGGTGCAGCAAGAAGCCCTCTTGATGGTTTACCATGGACCTTTAAGATTGTGACTCATTTGGCCCGGTTAGGAGGGTGACGACCGGTGGCCCAAAATTGGTCGAACGGACCAGACCAGATCGAATGGAAGCCAACAAAAGGTTGTTTAAACAAGGGTGGTTTGAACATGGTTATACAGGCTGCCCAACCTGGTAGCCGTGTTCGCGCGTTTCGCCGCCTTTTTGCAGCCCGGTGCCGTATTTGCGTTAAACATTCTTCTTTGTGGCAGGGGGGGGGAGGGAATTTTGAGACAAACCCCATGGGGGCAATTACATTTGACGACGTGTGAGTGTACTTTCTGGGTGGCCTTTCTTGCCAGGACCTACCATGGCCCGAGCGGCACCAATGGGGGGTGCGTGCATAACTCACAGGACATGAGCGTACAATAGCCGGGTGGACAGTACCGAAGCATCTCGCGCCAAGTATCGTAGCAAGAAAGATGTTGTCATGGAGTCAAAGAGTTGGCAAGGCAATAGTTAACAGATTGTCTCAATTACGTCAATGCTTCATGGTGCGCTTGTTCCAAAGACAGTGGACCATGTAAGCGCCGTTGCTGCAAGAGTTGGAACAAAATCACAGGTGCAAGTGGATTTGCCCATACACAAGACCAAAAGCATATGACCTGAAAACTGCAGGTTACGCCGTATAGTGTGTAAGTGGGATCCACTGATTAAGCGGCCTAGGTCAGTGGTAAGTCTTACAGCCCACTTACCATGGTGAAACATGTCTTTTAGGTATCTAACTATCTGCACCAACCATTTACCTGACGTACCCTACCCCTTTACTTCCAATTGCTGAATATTTTTTGATGTTCCCATGGTTTGAAAGCGAATCTATGCAATTGTTCAGTTTTTTTTTTCAGAAGACTTCAGCAAATGGAGGTTTAAGTGGCACTGCTTGGTTTCCTTCTTTTCTTGGTGCCTCCCGCTGTGCTTTTAGCAGGGAATCTGTGTTTTTTTTATTTCCGGCCTCGATCCGACCAGATCGCGGCGCTGCAAGCAACCCGCTACGGCTTCAACGGGGCGCCTCGGCTTACCATGGATCGAGGTCCTGTTTTGGAGTTGTTGCTTATTTTGGCATCGTGGTCTTAAAGGGAAACCAAGAAGAAAACAGTTGCGCCAATTTTGGGGGTCCTAAAAAGAGGAACTTTGACCACCGGACGCCCCCCTCAAATCCATTTGTGTGGGTGTGTGCCTTTTGGTACTGGTACCCACTTTGGTGGGCTGGGTTTAAAGGGAAACCAAAAGGACCCACCCAAAATAGGCGGGGGCCGTATTTTGAGACACACCCTGGGTTCCAAGATGGTCGAGTTATACGCGGCTCACATTCAAAACCCCATCGCACCGAGCAAAACTTGGGGGATCTGCATATTGTAATCCTTGCTCCACCCTCTCACAGAGTCCTCACAAAGGCCAACATCCTTTAGTCCCTCGTCCCCCTCCAGCCCAGCGAGGGGGCTATCTCCCTACCTGAATCATGGGGCATTTGTCACCTGCAAAGGGATTCCTATACAGAAAGTGGCCCTGAAGCCTTATCATCGACAACCATCACCAGAATGGTTGTGTGTGAAAATAGGAGGGGCGATCGATACCTCAGGATGGTTAATACACATGGTCACCTACTACTTACAAGTATCTTTGCAACATTAGCAAGTGAGACTACTCGCAACTCCAAATACCCCCAATCCAGAGTATGATGTCAACCCCTGACTAAACATGGAGGTATCTACCCATAGGCTGTTCGCCTCAAAGCAACGGCCAGGCATGGAAGATTGCCCTTTGCTTTCCTTCCATGGTCCAAATTTCTACCTGTCGATCGGGTTGAATTTGGAGCACAGCCTTGCTTCCTGCCCACTTGCCAGGAGGGCTCCCCCTTGGCAGATCTCAGGTAGAAGCTTCCGCAGGTTTTAGACCGCCTCCTCTCGTTAGGTCAACTCCCACAAGTTAAGAACTTTTTGGGGGGCCAAGCCAAGTTATGGGGTGGATCTTAGCAGACTCCTATGGTAGTCAACCCCCAATCTCCCCCCCAATTGTTCCAGAGTGGGGCAATTTTAGCGAAGGCGGTTTGTTTGGGCCTTCTTGGGTTCCCTTTGGAGTTGGGGGGGGGAATTCTCTTTGGAGGACCTGTGCTCTTGGGTTCCTTTCCGGTTTGTGGGGTGGGGGGGGTCCAATCAATTCCCCTTTTTTGTTGGTCTCCTGTCTTTCTATTTGGGTGTGGGTCAAAATTAAACCAACAGGGGACCGCAGGTTTTGGCCCATGTTTCCAGTTACCCTTTTTTTGACCCAGAACCATTTGGTGTGGGGCGGGGTCCCAATTTGTTCCGGGGAAAAACACGCGACTCCGACTCCGGGCAGGCCATGGACTCGCTGTGGCTGTGCCTCTGCGGGGCCCTGGTGATGTTCATGCATGCGGGCTTCGCAATGCTGGAGACTGGGTCGTGCCGCGCCAAGAACGCCTCCAACGTGCTGATGAAGAACTTGGCGCCTCGAGAGAACGGGTGTTACGGGCGCCGCTGAGACCTCATCTTCGCTTCGCTCTTCTTGGCAGTCTTATTATTGTCATTAGTATTAGTAGTATCATTAATTCTTATTATTAGTACTTTTATTATTATTGTTATTATTATTGTTAGCATTGGTATTAGTATTAAGAAGCAATTAGAAGCCGGGCAGATGAAGGTTAGCAGAGGAGAATCCCAACCATAAATGGGTGCAGCCGCCGTTTTGCTTCCTTACATGGTTCTGGGTAGACCATTTTGATACCGGGTTTTGATTGGCTCAAATGGGCTTGTCTCATCTTTGGGAACCCCTAAGATCATATCAACATTTTACCCGTTTCAAGCAGCAAAGAGTTTAACTTTTTGCAGGGGGTCTAAGTCTGATCAAGAGATGAGCGGCTTCCTTTGATTTCCTATTTGATACCCAAAGGAACCCTTACCCACCACTCACCGAAACCATGGTAAGTCCGCTGAGGTCAAAACCACAATGGCGTCTTCTAGTGGGGACTGTGTATGTTGCAGATAAAGTACTGGCCCCCATGTTAGAACCTGTTAGATAGTTTCCCCTGGCCCTGTCCAACATTTGTTCTTTTTGCCGAGGGGTTCCCCTTTTGGAATCTTGAAGATAGTTTGCCCAGACCTGTTTGGCTTCGCCCTTGTCCAACCATTTTCGTTTCGCCGCTTGGGGGTCCCTTCAAGGCGCTCAGTGGAAGTCTGGGTTTGTACACCCCTTTGATCGTCGAAGTATCAAGATGTGTCTATGGACATGGGACCCGGGAAACAGCAAACATTCAAATTGCAGGGCAACATACGGGGCAAAATCAATTCCGAGCATTTTTACTCCCCCCCCCACAATGGTGACCAAGTATGGTTTTTATCGTTCCACATCCCTACATTCTAGTTATTTAGGCCTTTCTGACCGTGGCACAGTTGGGTGTGTTTGTGTTGGAGTTGGAATAACCCTTCTTTGGGATCGTGCAAACTGCAAACAAACTCAGTTTGAGGATAATGTTTTCGTTCAGAGAAACAAAGGCGAATGTTACAAAGGTGGATTTTCCCTTTTGTTTCACCTGGGTGAATTGAACATTTTTCTGACGTTGAAGATTTACTAAACCAACCGGACGGACCGGACGTATCCTGCCTTTTTGGGAGACCAACCCAGAACCCAGGTGAACCCATGTTGTACTAGAGGGTTCCACATGTTCATCCTGCTCCTCATAACTAACCCCGAAGTCTCCCCACTCGTGTTTTCAGGCGTCCTGTCTTTTGTCTTCCCGAGAAGCCACAAGGGATGGGTAGCCTTCCCCATGTTCTGATCAATTCCACCATCAGGTTCAAGTTTTCAGCTCATCTGGCCAAATGAACCCCAGATTTTTGCTCTGAGCACTTTGATATCTTTCCATTGGGAGGTCCCAAGCCAAGACAAATCCAAGGTGAACCCGCGTATGTGTGCTACATACCTCCGCGTATCCCTGTACCGACCAAACCAGAAGTCAAAGACCTGTTGCGACATGGTCGTACGGCCGCTCTGGTCCTTCGGATTCCATGGAATGGGATTTTCACAGGCGAAGGGGGTTTTGGCTAAGGGAACAATGAGGGCACCACAGGCGAACCCATGTTGACACATGGGTTCTCTCATGGAACCTCCAAAAATTGGGTGGCTTGGGTGGTTTTGCTTTGATTTGCCTGGAACAAAATCCTCAAACCGAACAATGTGTATGAGCTCTAGCTTAGCCCTTCACCAACCAACGATGAACTCGCTGGTTTCAACATGTGATGAGTACCCCTCAGCACGCCAAACAAAGCAAACACAACATGTTCCACACGGAGACCCGAAAAAAGAAGACCCCGGAATCTAGGGGAAAACTCTCCTGATGTTGTCCAGGCCGACCCAAGAAAAACTCCAGGAGCCAAAAAAAAACAGCATTTATATTTAGAAAATGCATAAAACCAACCCTTGGGTTGTTTTTGTTTCAATACAAGCCCAACCCCATCGTGTTTTTACCTCAACCCAATCTGAAAAAAAAGCAGCACAAAGAGCTGGTTCTTGTGAAAAAGCAGCAGGAGCCATTCATTCGGAGCCCGAGGTCAACGTGTGCGTGGGCACCTTGGGCTGGTGGCTCACGGGCTGGGCCTTCGCTTACGGCACCCAGAGCGGCACCGCGCTCTTCGGGTCCAGCGGCTTCGTGGGGGAGGGCTTCTACACCAAGGACGCCTCAGGCGCCTGGAGTTGAGTCTCCTTCTGACCCTTAAGAAATGGTGGGTCATGACCCAAAATAAAGGGATCATATGTACCTATTTTTAAAGGGTCAGAAGGAGACTCCAGATGGAGTCGTCGTCGCCCGGGGGGGCGTCCGGGCGGTTGGCCCCGCGGCCCGCGCTGCGTTGGGCGGGTGGGGGGGGTAGGGTTTGGTTCTTATGCGGGGTGAAAGCTAGGTAGGTTTCGTTTCCAGCGATTGGTGCCCTGGCTCTCACCCCGTTTTCGATTGGGAGGGCTCCCCTACTAAAATAGACTACGGAAAAGAGGGTACCCGGCCATCCGGTTCCTTGGATTTTTTTGGTGGTGTTGAGTTGGCTTGGTGGTTAGTTTCAGCCTGCTGGGGGGGGGGGGGAGAGGGGGGGGCGTGTCTCGATTCGGGTCCCCCGGCCATGTATTTGGTTCCGGTGAGGTGTTTGGTGGTGGTGTAGTTGTTGGTTTAGTGGTTGGTTCCTTAGGTTTGAGGTGGTGTTGAGTTGGCTTAGTGGCTGGATTTTGAGGAAAAAAAAGAAGAGAAAGGTGACGCTTGCAGCAGGGCATTTGAGGACAGCTGGGCAGGAATCAAGGGTGACACTATTTTTCCCTGTTTTTGTTTGGAAGGGAAACCACGGGGTTGGTGGGTGGAAAGGGTTTGGGATCTTGCAATTCCAGCGCCCTTCCGTTTTGGGGTTCCTTCCGTTTTGGGCTTGGCGGTTTGGTTGGAAGGAGAGTGTTTGGGGGGAGGGAGATCGCCGGGAAAAAGGCTGTCACCATGGTGAAAGTAGATGAGTAGATGGACCAAGCTTGTTTCTGTCGCGGTTGAGTGGCTTGGAACTGTGCCGTTCAGGTGTGTGTGTGTGTGTGTGTGTTTCTGAGAGTACCGTTCTTGCGGGGTGGTTAAAAGAGAAACCAGGAAAGTCACAAGTGTGTCTCCCTATTTTCACACATGGGTGGGGTTACGCACATGCCATGTTGGGTACCTTTTTTGAGCCACAGCCACTTCTATGTGCTTAAATATATATTTTTAGTTTCCCTTGTTGGTTTTAAAAGGAAGTTATCACTACTGGAAGTATGTTTTTTTTTTGGTTTTTTTTTGTTTTTTTTTTGGGGGGGGTGTGAACCAAATGGAACATTAATAGTTACGAAAGTTTTACCCAGCAGTCATTCGGGGGCCGAAAATTCCCGCGGCCGCGCGGCTTCCCTTTCGAAGGCAAAATCACCCCGGTGACCTGCACCTCCGAGGGGTGCCAGAGCACGATGCTCTCCTGGCGCCTCGGTCTCTTGGGGTTGGTGGGGATCTGGTCTCCTGCCAAGCTCGCCTACTACTTTGTTGAGCGTGTCGTTTTTGGGGGTGCCCCTTGTTGGACACAAAAAGGACGCCACGCATTTTAGGTCCACTTGAGACAACCCCGTTTAGAATCTTATGTTCTGTGTGCCCCAGTGGGCCAAAGGATGGTGAACCCCTCAACGGTCACCCGAGTAGTAAAGTCCCCCCCCCCTTCAAGGTCGACAAGGTTTGGACAACCCCCAACACTGAGATTCTGGAGCCCAGTCCTCGTGCTTTTGCTTTTGACCCCGTACCAGCCAATTGAACCGCTTCGCCCCTTCTGGGCACTAGGAACAAGAGTGGCAACATCATTTTTTTGGTTTGAGCCCAAAACGCCCTGCTGAATCGCGGGGGGTTTCCGTTCTTGAGTGGGGCTAGCCTTCAAGCGGGTCTACTTTGTGATCTTGAACACCTTGTCATTTAAAGCAAACTTTAGTGAGACAAGTGCATTTGCATTTGTGGAAAGCACCTATTTGGGGAAGCACATTGTTGGGGAAAACTTGGGGTTTAGTAGTGGCGTCTCATTGGTGACTTGAGCGCTGCTCGGAACCCCCCCCCCCCCCGGACTGGACCATTTTGTTCGCTGCAACCGTAGATATGGGCGGAAGGGGAGGCACCCCGAAAGGAAAGTAGTCTTCCAAAGCTTGGTGGTTCCCAGCCATCCCCTTAGGTTTTCGGTTTTTGTTTAGTGGTAGTTTTCATTTAGCCCACGAAAGGTTGAACCATTAGCAGAGGGATCAGAAAACGGACAGCCCAAGAAGCCTCCTCCTAAACCTTGATCCTCCTGAAAAAAAAAGTAGTTTCCGCCTTTGACTGGATATTCGGGAAATCGTAGCACTTTTTGCCGCAAACACCTGAAACTCCTGAAGCTTCTAAAAAGGCACACTATTGCAATGCTCGCGGCCTTTGACAGATTCAGGAAGCTTTGCAGGGGCAAACAGCTTGATGCAGCCCGCAAGTTTGTCAAAACATGCAACCGTGCAACGGCGGTCCAAAGTTGTGCGGTGCAGAAAGAGCGTACCCATTTTGACCGCAAGCCGCCCGCAAATCTCCGCAAATCTGGCGCAAAAAGAACACGCCAACTCCCGCAAATCAGAAGAAGTCGCGAATGATCAAGGCGTTTTGTGGAGTTCACTGTTACGTTGGCAAGTGCTGCGATGTTTATTTGCTTGTATGGCCAATGCGCGACTGGAAACGACGCAAATCGTATGTGCTTTTGCCCCAATTGTAGCTAAACCCCAACTGGCCTTTCCCCACCCACACACCCGCCCGCCCGCCCACCCACCCACCAACCTAGAACCCCTACACCCCAGCCACCTGTTTGGTATCCCCGTGAAACGGCGGAGGTTCTTCCAGTGGGCCTTCTGCACAGCCGGGGCCACCATAGTCAGCGGGGCGGTGGCAGAGCGCGTGAAGGGGCCCACCTATGCCGCCTTCGCCTTCGTGATGACCAGCGCCCGGGATAAGAATGCGGAAAGGCGGGCCAAAATTTGGGCAGATCTTCTCTTCTTATGTTTCGTTGTTTAACACATAGTATTGTTATGATTATTCTTATCAGTGCCATTATTTTTGTTTTTGGGGATATTTTGGTGGCTTTTCAGGTGGTTGACTATTCACATGTGTGGACACTTGTTGATTTGTTTTCCATTTGCTTGAGAGCATATTGAGAATATGTTTTCCGCTTTCGGCTTGCAAGGGAAGCTATCACCACTATAGTTTGGCTTAAGCAAATGGAAGTGGTTGAAACGAGGCCTCCTTTATAAAGATGAAATGTTGCAAACATGGCCCTTTACAACCACCAAGAAAGGGGTCGCCTCAACAATTGAAAGGGCGTGTGGCAGGGAACGAGGTCAAGCAACAATATCCGGTCACCACAACACTACTGGAACACCGGACACTAGCGGGACACCACCACAACACAGGGAAAGCACATGGAAAGTGTTTAGAGAAGAGGTGTCTGCGTCTTTGTTGTTGAGGGTCCGTACCCTTTTTAAGGTCGGTTTGAAGGGAAACCAACAGGAACGCCGCATTTTACATGGGGGTTCCCCGCGGGTTCCCCTGAATTTTAAGCCACACCGGGCTAAAGCATGTTTAATCAGCGGCTTTATCCCCGCGAGGGTGGGGCTACGAGTGGGGTGATGTGAGGCCACAGCGAAGATATACAGTGGCAGATTGCAGAGGTGTTCTTTTTGGTTGCTTGAGTGGACCATAGATGGCGATTCCTGGTTCAATTGGCTTGTTTACTGATCTAAGGTCCATCCCATGTTTCCCAACAAAATACGCATGGTTGGCTAATGTGCAGGTATCGAACAGAGACAGCAGGACAGGACAAGCCCATATCTATATATATATATATATATGTTTTTCGCCCCAGGGAGTCGCAGAGCTTCACTTGCACCTTTTGGTTGCCAGATTTATTTATTTATTTTCTGCGGGGGGGCACCCCAAAACGGTGGTTTTCCTCTTGGTTTTCCTTTAACACCAACAAGGCGTAGCCTCAATACAGATTGACGCGGTCCGTTGCATTTTTCGGGGCAGGGACGAGCGACAAGTGATGAGCATTTCCTGTAGCCCGCAGAAAGGGTTTGGTCATCAAAGCGAGCGGTGGAACTCTTGGGATTCTATGAGTTCCCGCTAATTCCTGGTAACCGCGAGAGACTCACGTCATGACACTACCCACTCTCTCTCTGAAGGTTGTAAGGAATAAATTGAGTGGGAAAGAGAGGCCTGAAAATTACCACGCAAATGTTGGGCCGCTTCTCATTTCCAGACACGTAAACCCCCGGATTTACCCCCCTGAACCACTTACTCTGGTGGTTTAAACAAGATCACCTTTCAACTTGATGGTTCTATCGTATTCAAAAGGTGAGTTTCCAACTTTGTGATTTCTGTCCGCAGGTTCCATTTGCTGGCGAATTCACTTGGTTTTGATTTCCCCCTGTTGGGTCTACTGAACAAAAATCCATCCTCGGATTTTGGTTTCGAGGCGCCGGTTCTGGGTGAGTCTTGTAAGGTATGGGGTGTGGCTCAAAATGAAAGAGCTAGGGTGAGGCAAATGATAGTCTTTGGTTCCATCTACCAAGGTGCCATTTTGGTACAGGGTTTTGAGCCGCAGAAATTTTCGGAACACTCCAAATGACCGGGCTCCAGCACCAAACAACCGGGAAGCGGAAGTTGGACTCCCTAGATGGCCAAGCTTGCTCTTTTCCAGTCACTGTTGCTTGGGGTAAAGTGGGTGGAAAAGAGCGATCGCACCTGGCGATCGCAACTGGCCCTTCCGCTTGAGGCTTCATCTACCCCATGGTTGTGGCCTGGAGCTGGGGCGGGGGCTGGATCTCCACGCTCTTCGACGTGGGCTACATGGACTTCGCCGGCTCCGGGGTCGTGCACCTCACCGGGGGCGCAGCTCGGACGTTTTGAGGGGTGGGCTTGGTGGGCTTGGTGGGGGGGGGGGCAAAGGTGTGCCCTCCATTCCCCCTGAAGGGATCCTCCGAAAGTGGCCACCAGCGACGAAATTGGGCAATTTCGGGGTACATCCATAGTGACGTTTGCCGCCTTTGTTCTTTTGGGGCTGGTTTTGTTCCGGTTTCGACCTGGCCCAGCCAAAGAAAAAGCAAGTTTTCTGGTGGGGTCTCAGAAGTCATATTCTTGGGTAAGCTAAATATGAAGCAGTTTGGAGTTCCCCCGAAATGGAAATGGCTCTTCCACAGAGCGAGCGCCGCCAAAAACACAACTTAGAATGCATGTATACGTATACCAATTTTCTCTGGGTTCTGGAAGCATTGTAAATTGGGCGGACAGTATGTTTAGTTTGAAGCTGTCATTTTCAATATTGTACACCTAATTTCAGAACCATTCCCTATCTGAATGATCGTTTGCCCCTCACCAACCAAGAAAGGTTGTGTAAGGGACCTTGGTAGCGAATGCCATGCATGTTTGTTTTCCAGGAAGGTGTCCCGACTTCTCCCAGACCTATTCCAATAATTTAGGCCCTCCCCCCTCTCAACAATCCCTCCCAAGTCTCAGGATTGGCTGCTGTTGGAAATGGACGGTCTTCTCAGATTCTGAGTCCATGTTTTTGGGAAGACCTCTAGAAGTTGTCAGTTTTGGGCTTTTTCCGGCCAACCAACTCAGGAAGTGAGTCTTTCTAGGGGCATCTTCTGGACCAAATCCCCTCCCTGGGGTTCCTCGCCCCCATGCAAAGAATGGTTGACGCAATTTTGGATCAAAATCCTCAGGTGAATGATGGTGGCTTTGAGTCCAAGTCTCTTTTGCCCATGGATACCAGGGCCTGATTCAAACCACCATTACAACAAGGGGGCCAATATATATATATATATATAATAGGCACCAGTCTATGGCCATGAAGGGCCTGGTGGGTCAAACGGGTGGCTGAGCTTTCCGAAGGTACCTGGATCGCAGTTGCGATCGCTTTTTTCCATCCACTTTACCCCACAAACCAGCAACAGTGACTGAAAAAAGCAGCAACTTGGCCATCTAGGTACTCGGTCTTTTGCGGTTTCAAACCAATCCCATGAAGGCCCCTCATTTTCAGGTTTAAACCAACAAAAGGTCGTAGCCACCAGGATGAGCAGCTCGGGAAGGGGGCTCCGTTGAACGGCTCACTTGGCTTCTTGGGGCGAGTCGACCGATCGACTCGACCGAGTCAAGAGGCGGCAACAGTTTACACCAGGAATTGGACTGCAGGTGTTGCATCGTCCATGTTTCCATTTGCCATGAAGCGATTTGCCCATGTCGGATCCCGATCTTCTCTGGGGGGTGCTGGCCTGGGTCCCTCCCAAATCGGTGAGGCTGGGGTTCCCCGCCCCGCACAGTCGCCGCTTCGAGGTGGCAGGCCTGGCCGGCACCGTGGTGCTGGGCCCCCGCAAGGGCCGCTTTGTGAATCCGGAGGCGGAGATGCGAAGGGGAAACCGGCGCTGGGGATGGTTTCCAAAATCCCTTAAGCCCAAGGGTCGTTGGGGCAGATTCACCATAGCCCCCCTTACAATGCTTCCCCCCAACCACCCCTTACAGACCCCAGGACCCTCCAATGGAGAACCCCGACCAATGTCTAAGGCGCTCTCAAAAACAACCATGCTCCATGGGCAGAGTTGTTTTTGGTGTTGTATTCGTTTAAGATGCGGGTGGAACTCGTTTTGTGCTGCGGGGCCTCCGCACAAGCAAAGCTAGTGTGGGTTAGGATCGTGCAGGCACTCCGCAAATAGGCCATTCCAACAAAATCCTGCGTAGGCAGGTTCGCACAGGCGTGTTGTGTCATACCAAAGAGCAGCTCACGAAAGGGTGTGCGTAGGCCATTTTGACGAAACAGGGTTCCACGTGTTCTCCCGCCCGTGCAGGCATCCGCGGAGTCTTCCCCAAAAACAGCTGGGATTTCTGTATGTGTTTTAACAAGACAAGCCCGTGTTGCAACATGTTCCAACAAGATTCCCTTTTGCAGATGAACGAGGAACCCGCGCAGCCATGATATGCAGCTGCTCTCGGGGACCCCCTTGTCGGGTTCCGGGTAAGTCTCAGTTACCCAAAGACGAACTTTTGACCTTTTGGCTTCCTTGTATTGGTCAATGTGTTTGTCAGGGTCTGAAAAGGTATTCACCTTTGGTTTCCAGGTTCAAGCTGGGTAGGTGCTTGTTTGTTTGTGGCGAGGGGTACCTTTTTGTTGTTTCGAAGGGAAACCAAAAGGACACCACCCATTTTGGGTATTTTTATGGCCCCCTTTTCGGCTTCCATGTTAATTAGGAGACAAGCCCATGTGGTTAACCGCGCATTGGGAGGAGTTTTGTCTGGCGGGGATCGGGAAACCTGCCCCCCTCTCGGCCTCCAGAGCCAAGGAATTTGCGTTCACCACGCTCACCTTGAAAAAGAGTTGTTGCTTGAGAGGCACTGCGCTTGATTTCTTCGATTTGCTCGACCTAAGTGACAGGAGACACATTGCACGGGGCCCCAACCTTGAGTCTCACCTTTTTTTTCATATTTCACCCAAGCAAAACGAAGAATCAAAAGGAAGCCCAAAGGAATCCACGAGAAAGCTGCTTGTTGGAAGAGGGGGCGAATCATCAAAGGCTGTCTTTGGTGCGAGTCGGAGGTTGTCTGAGGGGAAGTACCTTCTGAGGTACTGAACAACGCCTTTTTACCCCCCAAAAGCCATCAGGAGGTAGCAAGGGACCCTCTGAATTGCGGAGTTACGCAGGTTTTGGTCCATTCCACTTGCCGATTGGGCAACCCATTTTGGAATTCCGTTTTTTTTGCGCCACGGCCATATGAGGGACGTGAGGGAAACCCAACGAGCGCAGGACTTCGAGCCCCACAACCTGCCGCTGGTGGTCTTCGGCACCTTCGCTCTCTGGCGCCTCGGAGAAAAAATCCCAGCGTTGTGCTCGGCGCCGAGCCGTTTTGGTCGGAGTCTTGTTTGTTTTTTTGGTCTTGGGATTTCTTTCGTTTGTTTGGGGTTCTCTTTGGGATCTTGGGAGTTGTTTGTTTTGGTTCGGAGTCGTTTTGGTTTGGGGGTTGCTTTTTTTGGAGTCGTATTTTTTGGGTTCTGTTTGGGTTGCTGTTGTTGTTTCCCCCCCCCCCCTCCCGTGGGTTTCTTGCCAGCTTTCTTTGTTCCTTTTCCCCCCCCCCCCCGGGTGAATCAACACATGACAGTTGGGAGGAAGCAAGCAGTGTTCTTTCGAAGTTCTGGGCTTTGGGCCAATTTTTGGGGAGGTGAGTGACAAGCAGCACGTCTGGACTGGAGACAGTGGGAGACAGTCGCTGGGAGGCGAATGAAGTCTCCAGACGCCGCGCCAGGCATCTAGCAACGGGCGAAGGAATTTAGAACCCCGCAGAAAACAACAAAGGAGGAAGGGTTTGCAAGGCAGCTAGTTGTTTGGAGCAAGTTCAATGGCACCTTGGTGGTGCTGCTGGCCTTGGCTCTTGGTTGCTTCATGACAGGGATTTATTGCTTGCGCAAAGCCTGCAGCCCAGCTTACATTTTAGGGTACACTAAATATGACACATAACCTGAACATATGAGCCACGGACAAACACGTGTAGACCACCTTAGGGGGAGGTACGCTTTCGCCGAACCAAGCGAGGTTAAAAGAGGTACTAGGGCCAAATAGCGGGTTTCGTCCGTTCCTCATATGGTTCCTTGTGCCCCAGACCAAGACTTGCTGGTGCTCAGCAGGGAATGAGGGAATGAACCTGGGGATTCCCTTCAAGGAAACCACCAGTTGGATAGTTTATCTCGGGGTCATTCCATTTTCAGGGAGCCCTTAGTCAGTGGTTTGGATTGGCGGTTTGGAAAATTTGAAGCCCTGCCTTTTGTAGAGGGTAGATGGGAAACCATCCCTAGCCAACCACCGGGCTCCAAACCACCAAGTGGCATGCAGAGATTTCTCATCTGCATCTCTCGCACCAAGAAAAGGCGAAACATGTTCTGCTTCCGACGGCCAGGTTCGGGTGGTACGGCTTCAACCCGGGCTCCACCCTGGGCATGCACGACGGGGCCACGGGTGCACTCGCCGCGCAGGCGCGCGAAACGGGGAGCGAGTCCTTCGGCTTTGGGTTTCTTGGTGTCAGGCAAGGGAGAGGAAGACTCAAAACGGGAGACTCACTTGCAGACGCGAATCGACCAGAGCTGACCTTTTACTTAGTTTACCGATTTTGGGCAATTCGTTTTAGTCATGACTCCAACAGGTGAACCTTATATTTTCTGGGCCCAAACTGGGCAACTGTTTTTTTTGCCAAGCCTCAGGTTCATTTCCTGCAAAATGGCAGTTTCTTTGTGGTTTCCCTCGAAAACGCACTGAGCCTCAAACATGCGAGCCGTGGTTTCGCCGGCACAACAACACTGACTAGGCCCCTTTGTGAAAACTTTTTTCTAGTGGTGTCATGTTTCTCAGCTGTTTTTTGTGGAGGGCGCTTTCCTGATAAATGGGTGTTTCTGAAAATGGGAGACCTCACTTTGGTCGACAATTCCTACATTGAGAAAACCCGACTCCTTTCTGCCGCTGAAAGCGCCCTGTTTCCCCAGTGGGACCGTGCCTTTTATTCTAGCAGGTCGAGTTTCGCTTTAAACACGAAGAAAAAGGTGTGTCCTCGCTTCCCCCTCGAAACGGATGTCCCTTAGTATAGAACCAGAAACAAACACGTTTTGTTTGCTCCCATAGTCATGTCTAAGTTTGGTTTCAAAGTACCAAACAACCCCGATAACCCTCTTCCAATGATTTCGGGCCAGAAATATATCACCCTCTTTCAATCAATGGTCTTCGATATTGCCTTACAAATCCAACACTCCCATTCAGAAATGGTTGATTTCTGTTGTTATCACCAAATTGCCATCGACGGGGTTACTCACCAACATCCAATGTCAATTGGGGACATATTGCATGGGAGTGTCTTAAAGCCCACACATGGTTGCTCTTCTGTTGTGTTCCCTTTACCGCTCAATCATGTGTATTCGCTGTTGGGTTGGATCTTTAGACTTGAACTTGTAGGTTGAAATCAAGGGGGGTTCCATTCAACCCACAGAAAGTTACAGCTCCAGCAACCAAGTAGTGGGAAACCTTGGGGTTGGTTTTCTCTGTAATGGTGTCTCCTCTTTTCTTTTTTGGTGACAGCAAGCTTGTAGTGGTGTCTCTGTTTGAGGCCACCTGAGCCACAATCAAAACCCGGGCAGATGAAGATTAGTAAGGGACAGTCCCAACCAGAAATAGCTGCGGCCGCCTCCTTGAAATTCTTTACATGGTTCTGGGTCCCGACCATGCTACTACCGGGTTTTGATTGTGACTCAGTCGGAACCTTTGAGTTTTTAAGTTCAACCGAAACCAGTCGGAACTTAAGTCAGGTGAACTCTTCTTGTTGATTTCTATGGAAAACAACTTTCAGTTGGACCCTTTGAGGTTCATAGGGCTCATTCCTTGTGTTGCTTCGGGTTTTTTGGTGCGGCCTGCTTAGGTGGCCATGAACACCACGCTGGCGGCGGCCACTGGGGGCATCAGCGTCTTCATCATCCGCACCTCGGACGAGGGTTGATCAGCTAGGTCCCCAGGCTAGGTGCCCTTTCTCATCCTTTTTTTGTTGGGAGGGTTCCCCTACTAAAACAGACAGTTGGTGCCTTTACTCGAAGCTCTCAAAACTGGGAGGGCCTCGTCAATATTCCGTTCGGCCAGGTTTGACCATGGGTAACTTGTGCCATTTAGTGGACATGTTCATTTGTTAAATGGTTTTACCCAAATCCCATGTAAAGGGCCTGATCTGATCAACTCCCCATGTAGGATTCTTCTACACCCTGGAACTCGAAACATGAAGCAAGCTGTGGGTTCTTGGGTCCTGAGGGAGCCCACAAAATGGATGTTCAACAACAACGACAAGTAATTTGGCTTCGGGCCGCGGTGGGAAAGTGGGAACCCTAGTTCCTGGTCGATTTACTCATGGTATGTGCCAGACGAAAATATATATTTGGCGATTGTTTGGAGGGCACCTCGTTGAAGGTCGGTTGCGAACCAGCAGGACAACTCATTCATACGGTCCCCCGCTATTTTGAGGAGCCATACTCCAAGGGTTTTCCTATCACGCCCTCCGCTGGGGAATCACCCCATCCTAGCCTATGTCCAGATAAGACCTGGTGATTCTTGCTTATTTGGGATTATACTCCAGTCAGTAGGTGGTTCATCGTGGGAATCAATTCCAAGCCGGATTTCGTCCATCGGGCTTGAAGAAAACCCAGTGCAATGGCACTCTCATTTCCTTGGTTTGGCTCCACGTCACCAAGAAACTGAGTTCCTGGACTTTCTACTTGTTGGGTTTGGACCATTTACGTGGCAAACACAACATTTGGTTCCTTTTTCTGGCCAATCCACTCGATCGGAAGTGAGGAAACTAGAATTCCTTTCAAGGGGTGGAACAACTCTACCGGGAAACGAGGCTATGCCATCCTCCGGAAGTACGACGTGGGCGGCCTCTGCAACGGCATCCTTGCGGGCCTGGCACCTTCAGCCAAAACCTGCGGGTAGAAAGCACGGAAATGCATCTGTGTTAAACATGTTGGATCGGAATTGGAGCTGTGTCAAGGACATTGTTCTTGGGCGGAAGTAGTGAGGGGATGCAGGTGCAAAGATAAGTGAATCAGTATTGTAAAGCCGCCGGAGCAACTCTAAAAGCCCGCCTCTAAATGTGATGGGAAGGCCCCACGTAAGCAAAACCAATGAATGGCACATGCCACGCAAGCTCGAGCGTAAATCGTAAGCTTTGCTTTATGACCTCTTGGTAAGCTCTGAAAGCCTGCCGTGGCGGACATGTGCCATAGCTTGCCTTGTTTCAATCACTGAGCTGGAATTGTTCGAGCACAAGTCGACAATTTGATCATATTCAGCAAACTACGCGCTCAGGCGTAAAAACCTGGCACACGAGCAACGGGTACAATTATAGGTAATCGATTGATAGTTCGAAGGAACCGGAGAAAAGCAAGCACCAGAGACATCCATGTCTCGTCGTCTTTGTGGCTGGAGGGAGGGTACCTGTTTGGTGGCTGTTTTCAAAAAGCTAAAGAAAAGGCACCCTTTGAAGGGTTCTTCGCCAACGGCAAATCCATGTTAGAGCTTGGGTTTAGGTTGCCCGTATCACAGAAAGGTTGATCTTCCAGCTGAACGTTCCCAGCCAGACGTCAAGTCACACCCGCAACCTCGCATCTGAGCCGAGAGCAAACTGCATCGGGGTCCGGAGGATCCCAGTTGCCACTGCCATAGTCAGCCCTTCTGGTGGCTTAAAGGCTGGCTCCCTGCCTGAGTTCCTGCACTTCAGTCGCTTTTTCACCAGTACAAACGGCAAGCCAACAGTTTCGCCCTTGTTGGCCACCCAGCAAGCGCCCGCCAAGCGCCCACGAACTACTTACCGCCCGATCTGCAGAAGAGGTCTCCATCACCGCGGGCTGCGGCAACATGGAGAGCGGCTCCGCCTTCGCCACGGGGCTGGTGGGCGCCATGGTCTACCAGGCCCAAAGACATCCACTCCCAGCCGCGGGAGGTTTTTTTGTTGGTTTTGCGTGCGTGGGGAGGGGGGAGAGGGCGGGAGGGAAACGCTTTCGTTTGAAGCAATTCCAAGAAGGGGAAGAAAAGGGCGGTATTTTGCAGCCATCTTCAGGGCATCTGCCGTCTGAGTATGTTTTATTGCTTGCACAGGGGCATTGCAGGCACTTGCACAGGGGCATTGCATATTTATGAGTTGTCTTTTTGTTTTCCATCATCTTAGTGAATGACCGGATACTTTTAGATGTGACTTGTGGTTTTGCGGCTGATGTAACCACCGGTTTTCCACTTTTGCCAAGTTTTTCTAGAACCAACTGGGGTCGACAGGTTGCCATGGATTCGCTGAGTATACGGGGGGACTCTCTGTGATGCCGCGGCAAGCGCGCGTAGGCAATTCTGGTGGAGAGAAAGCGATGGCAGCGATGGCGTTTGTCCTTGAAGGTTGTTCAAGAGAATCCTGTGTCACATGGCCAATGCAGTTGGTATGGAGGGTTCGGTACGGGTTCCCATTTGGCCCGAGAGAGCTAGGGCGGGGCTCGAGTGCCTTTCTTTGGGCCGTACCTGGAATTCGATTTGTTTCAAATATGAGCGACGGCCGGCAAAGAACCTGGGTTGAGGTGTCAAACCAGAAATCGGTGCGGAGATGCGCGTGTTTTGATTCTTTCTATCGGTCTTGGGCAATTAGACCAATGCACCCCTTCACCAAGTTTTGACTGTGGCTCATGTTTGTGGGAATCGACCAATAGGACTGGGGCAAATGGAGCAAACCACCGCACTTGACTCCTTGAGGTGCTGCGCCTTTGAGGTGAGAGGTGTGTTTGTCACCAAAAGGATAGTCATCATTCTGGGGTCCAAATCACCCATGTTTCTAGCTGTACCCTCCCCATTCTCTTCAGGGATCCTTCTCTTCAAAAAATGGCCAAAATCCGGGAGCATAGGTGGTTTCCAAAGAGAACGCTGGGTGAAGAGAATGGGGAATCAAACCTGAGAATGTTCGGCTTCAAATGCTGCGGACAAAATCCTGCACCGGGGATGGATGAAGCCCTATGAAAACTTGGCCAGCACGTACCCAGCGACTGGTTCAGGATTCTGCCCACCCACAATTAAATCTGAGTCTGTTGGAACATGTCCTCCAGGTTGCTTTTGCTCCTTCACAGAGACGAGTCTTGAAAAGTTTCATTTCCGGCCCGGACCTCCAAAAGCATTTTCTTTCGACTTTCGAGAGGATTCATTTTCACAAAGGACGGGCTTGGGCCGCATGGTCCTTTTGGGAGGCTGCCCTTGCTGTGACCACTGGAGATTTGGGTATGGATTTCAATCCTTCCGCCTTGGCTAAAGTGTTCCCTTTGCATAACATGGTTCGGCGCGTGGATTCCATCCTTCGCCCTTCGAGTGCTGAAACTGCTCTCATAGAGACCCCCCCAAAAAGACGCGAAGGCAGATCGCGTTTGGGCAAATGGCTGTGGGAAAGAAGGGCTCGGTTGCACGGTTTCGCATTATTTTCTTCCCTTGTCATGGGCGCCCTCAAAAGAACTCGAATCCAAAAGGCCAAAATGGATTACTCCCAGGTTCAACTCAAAGCCCAAGTGAGCCACTTGCTCAAAACCCGGTAGATGAAGGTGAGTAAGGGAAAATCCCGACTATGAATGGGTGCCTGTTGCCGCCTTTTTAATCCTTTACATGGCGGGTAGACGATTTTAGTTCCGCTCGGTTTTGATTAGGGCTCAACTCATGTTTTGCTGTCGTTGGCAAAATTTAGTTATTTATTTGCTTTTTTGGTTCTGCTCATGTTTAGGGCACCCCCCTTTTTGCGTTTTTAAAGCGAAACCAACAGCAACAACATTTTGGTGGTCCGCGTATCTGAAAACACCCATATGTAGAAAAACAACATATCCGCACACACCGGCTGTCAATGTTTGGGGCTTCTAAATGAAAAAACACGACCAGGCACATAGGTGTCCTTTTTGGTCGGTTTGGTTGAACCATAGAGGGCGATTCCTGGTTTGCCTGGTTCAATCATCTACCAGGGAAACCCATCTATTTTTCCTAAAAATTGGACATTTTGGATCCGCAGCCCAGCGTCCCCAGTTGCTCGGTGCAGGGCGCCTCCATGCTGCTCCAGAAGCTGAAGATCGACGACCCCGTGGACGCGGTCCCCGTGCACGGCTTCTGCGGGATTTGGGGCTTGCTGGCCACCGCCTTGTTCGACTGGGGCAAGGAGCGGAGCTCAGCGCGGGGGGTGGGGGAGTTGGGGGATTGGGGGGGTGGGGAGGTGGGGGGGTGGGGGGCTTCGAAATATGTAGGTCTGAAATTGAATTAGGGGTTTTTTGGACATCATTTCGGTGGGGATCCAAGTGGGGGCTTCGAAATATGTGGGTCTGAATTTGAATTTGGGATTGTTTGGACGTTTAAGTGGGGATCCATGTCCACCAACCACTTTGGAGGGTTCCCTATTGAAATCCGTCTTTACGGGCGCCAAGGGTTTGGAGATTTGATCAAAGGGAACACCGCTTGATTTTTTCTTTTGGGTCCCCTACAAAAGGACACTGGAAAAGACACGTTTAAACACCAAACACCTTTGTCCATTGGGGGGTGGGGTACCACGAATGGCTTATGGGTGTGTCTGTTTTGGAGGGGGGTGGGCCCCTTTTGGAAGTGTTTGCGAGGGCAACTAGGAAGGACACCACCCTTTTTTTTTGGAGGGGGGGGGGGGGGCGGGTCCGCTATGTGTATATATATATATATATGATGTATTCATATATACACATATAAATACACAATACATACACATATATGCTACCCCCCTTGAAATACTCAGGTTTTTGGCCAGAACTGAGGTGTTTGGCCAGACTGGGGGTGACAAATGCCTTGCGACTCTGAAATGAACTGACTGGACGCTCAACTCCATGCAAATTCCAACCAAGCAGAAGTTAAGCTCAACGTTGAAGGAGTTGCGAGTTGTGTGACCGTCACATTGGCGTGCGCGAAGTGCACTTAAAGTCACATTGAAGTATGCAAAGTTGACTTTGGCAGCTCCAGCTCAAAAAACACAACCGTCCAGTACAAGAGTAGTGCGCGAAGCATGTTTTGGCAGCCTCAACGCGCCTGTAGCAGCTCTACTATTGTGCTTCTTACTTCTGATTGGCAGCGAAATTCAGCAAATCATCAACTTGGGGAAAAGGAACTCATTCCTACTTCATGTCCTTGTGCACTTGCATTTTCATGTTAATTCGAGTGTTGTGCAGAATTCCATGTACATGCTAGTTCAGTCTGCTTGAAACATATGTTGCAAAGCAACTATCCCACGTGTGCGTGTTGCTTGTCTAACTTGGTTCAATCATCGCTAATAACAAGTATTGAAATTCAAGCGAGGGAAGGATATCCAGTTTAAAACGCTTTCGAGTTCAAACCAAATTCAAGTTTACTCGTTTGGAGTTTCTTGTGCATTTCAAAAATCAACTGGAGAAGATGGCTATTGTCCTTATCGAACTCCATGTGGTTTGAACCAAGCAAGAACTGAGCCAAGCCAATGCCTGGAACGTGCTTTCAATCATAGATCTTGTTCTTGGCATAACTGCTGTAAAACGCAGTGTTTTCAGCATTTGCTCAGCCCCGGATCGAAGATCGAGTGTGCAAGATTCCACAAACATATGTTTAGAACATCCTCAATCCTGGTCCCCTAAAAGCTTGCCAGTTTGTTCTAGACTCATTAAGGTTTTGGCTCCTGCATTGAAGATTGAAGATCTACTATATTTTCTATTGAGAACCTTCCATCTTGGCCAGCCCTCAAGTCCACAAAAAATCTGTAAAGATGTCAACAACATTTTCCCCCTGGCCAATGCAGGCAGCGCAAGTGCACATCCACAATTTGATTCTGACAACGTGCACTCCCGGTCTGCCTGTTGGATTTTTTGAAATCCGCACTTAGGGCAATCCAGGGTCTGAAGATTGAAGATTCTCTGACAACTCTTCCTGGATTGAAGATTGAAGATTGAAGATTCTGAGACCACTTGTTCTGGAAATCTATCCTTAGGACAAACTGATATGTGCTAGCACGTGCTAGCACATCCTGGCTTGAAGATTGAAGATTGAAGAATCCCAGAGAGAGTTGTCAGAGAATCTTCAATCTTCAATCTTCAATCCAGGATGTGCTAGCACGTGCTAGCACATATCAGTTTGTCCTAAGGATGGATTGAAGATTTCCAGAACAAGTGGTCTCAGAATCTTCAATCTTCAATGTTCAATCTTCAATCCAGGATGTGCTAGCACGTGCTAGCACATCCTGGATTGACCTAAGTACCGATGCTAGAATTTAAGTCTAAAACGGAGTGCAGTTTTGGAGCCTCATTTTTAGAAGCTGGAACGTGTGTTTTGCATGCATTTTTACAGCCAACATGTCAATTTCTGGCCAAAAACCTGAGTATTCCAGGGGGCTACCATATATATATATATATGTATCTACACACAACTTCTCCTTTTGGTGGTTTTAAAGATCACATGTTTGGGCCAACTCGAAGTGGTTTCCTTTTGGGCAAGGCTCGACAAAACAGTCGGCCCATCTGTCGACTTGGGTTCAGGTGGGTTCCCACCCATGTCCTCAAAACCGACGGGTAGTTCCCTCTATTTCCTGTACATCGTTTGGTGTAGACCAGGTTGCTAGGTTTTGATTCAAGCAAGCAGTTGATATCCCTTGCTATGTCCCTGTTTTGTGGATTGTGGGTTGGTCAACAGAACAAACTTGTAAAAAGGGCACACCCCTAAGCCAAGGGCCCTTCAAAAGTGCTCTTGGTTTCTGTGTGGGTGTTGCACAACCTGGGCCATTTGTAGATTCGATTTATCGATTGCTTTTTTGGTCCAATTTGGGGGCGGGTATGAAGGCGGGGTTAACCACACTGGCACTTTGGAAGGGAAACATTGAGTTTGTGTCAAGAGTGCCTGAAGTACATTTCAACGCGACGGAAGAGGCTTTCCCGCAAATCCGTTCCGAACAATAGGTGTTCGCTGTTGTTTCCTTTGTCTAGGGGACGATTTCTCTGCTGTACCTTGTTGCCGATGAAATCGGTCGAATGGGTGCAGTACTGTTTGACTCTGGCGAATCATACGATCAAATGGTAAAGGGTATCATTTGGTTTCCTTTCAGAGGCCTGTTCTGTGTGTTCAGGGTGCTTGGATTGCTCCCGTATCGTCACTTTAAGTTGCAAGGCACCCTGAGGTGTCTTAGTCTCAGTTAGCTTGTTTTTTTCCGGATTAAACGGCTCCAGAGTCGTACCCTTAAGCTCGTACCCCATTCTTTTGGCGCCTCAGAAGCCAACAGCACAACACAGGATCATGCCAGGCTGCTCACCAATAATCTAAGGAGCCCCTGATAACATAGACAAGACATTTGTGGTGAACTTCCCCTGGCAGACCTTTGATTTGTGAGCCACCGGTGGTTTCGTTTTGCTCACCCATGAAATTCTCAAAGCCAGAAGGCTGAGGAAAGTCTTTCAAAGGGGGAGCGTCCATGTGGTTGGAAGGGGAGAGTTCGGAGTCCGGAGCTCGGAGCATCCAAAATTGCAGAGGGAGTCTTTGACATCGTCCTGGAGGGTCACCAGTTTTGTTGCACACTCGCCATTTGTGATCTGAATTCCCGCGCGTTTTGCTTCTTTTTCTCTGTATCCATTCAAGTGACATCTGCGGAATCGTTCAAAGGGAACCACCGAAGATGTGGGCTTTAATCCGCCCACATGACGTTCAAAGGGAACCCCACTTTAAGGGAAACCACCCCCCATTTTCTTTTGAGAGTTCCCCAACAAGAAACCACTGAGGGGCCCACTCCCCATTCCAAGCCAAACTGCGGGCCCGAATCAAGCTCTTTTTCATTTCTGCATAAGGGTACCCCAAAACTTTCAGTGTTCTTGTTCTCTATTTACCAGGGCAACCCATTTTGGGCACCCATTTTTGACCACCACAGCCAGTTCACTCCACCGAGCGAGGGCGTGGACCACTACCACGGCTGGAGCGGCTGGGGCTGCATGCAAACCGCGGACAAGAGCAGCTGCCAGACGGGCATCGGCGGCACCGCCATCGGAGCGAATCTCATCATGGCCTTGGTGATCATCGCCTGGTCCGGAAGCATCTCTGTGCCTTTGGGTCCATTTGGGTATGGGTCAAAATTAGTCCCCGCCAAGGGACTGCAGGTTTTGGTCGATGTGTCCATGTACCAGAATTCCATTTTGGATTCCATGGTTCAAAGCCAATGGGATCCCATCTTGAGGTTTTCGGTGCACCACCCATGTTAGAACCGATTTTGGTGGGGATTGGGATGTTCACTGGGGTACGATTTGGGTTTTGACCCATGGCCATTTGGGTCAATGGAATGTGAATGTGTTTGCCTGTTGAAGCTGGGTCTTCCGGAGTCCAGAAAAACAATACCTGGCACCCAACAGAAATGTGTGGTGGTTTCAGGATACTCGAAGGGATTTTAGGCTCGATCCATCCATTTTTCGTCCTCAAAATGGAGCAATGGAGGCTGCAGGTGGTTCCTTTTGATTTCGGTTTCCTTTCACCATCTTGCCCTTAGTTCAAGGCTTGGATGGTGATTTGGGGTTCTTGTAGAGGGGGACACCATCCCCGAGCTTCCAAACCTGGCCACCTGGCTCCACATAAATTGGGGGGGGCATCGGTTCTTTGGCGCGGCTGAGCCAACGTTTCTGAAACCAGACTCGTTTTTTTTTTTGGTTCGCCCGCCGGTCTACCAGGCCTCCCATAAGACAAAAGGACAAAAGGTGCCAGGGTGATTTGGGCGGAGTGGGAAATCGGATGGTTTGATCAGGTTTTGTTTGGTGAGCCGTTCCTAGATGATGTTGGAAGCGCCCCTGCAGTTTTATTGGCTCACCTACCCAACCTAGAGGGTCCAAGTGCCTTCTGAGGTACTTGGACCCCTTTCTACTCCCCCCAAAAGCCATCCCCAGGAGGTCCAAGGAGGTACTTGGACCCTCTGGGTAAGGTTTCCTTGGCCGTTCCTGGATGATTTACCAAAAACCCTTTCCTTTTCAGAGTGCCGAACAATTTCTTGGAGCATTGACGGGAACGAAGCCGCGCTGGGGTTGTCCGAGCATTGGGATGCATGGACAAATCCGAAAAGCTGACCGAAACAGATCGCGAATAGGTGCAAAGTCAAGCTGCTTTTGCTCTTGGTTGGTGGGGATGAACGCGATGCATGGATTTTAGGCAACCACTTGAAGGTTTCCAAGCGACCTTCACAAGTGTATGAGTACTATATGACTCTTGAACCGTGGCTATGACTACTAAGAGTTGGAAAGCCAATCAAGTCAATGTTCCCCCCACATGCCCTCGGCAGATTAGCATGGAACCCATCTCCCCCATGACGACTCCTTTGGGTTCCAATCATCTGCAGTGCCAACAGGGTCCTAGGCAGTCCGAGGAAGGCTTCGGCCCTATTGAGGGGACCGCTCAAGCTTGGAGAAGGGGAATCCGAGCAAAACCGAAGATTGGCCGTATACTGTGGATGGTTGCGAAATCCCTTCGCACCACGAAATGAATCCATAGAAACAACACCATACCGTTTGTTGGCATTGCGTCGGAATCGCATCGTTGACATGGTTTTCGCCCATCCACAGTAGCTTTTGGTCGAATTGGGATAAAGCGCGTATACTTGGGACTTTCAGACGTTAGTGCGCATGAATGAATGAATGAATGATTGAATGAAGGAAGGAAGGAAGGAATGAATGAATGAATGACCTGACCATAGGTGTCCTTTTCATGTTTGGCTAGAAATAGGCACTGCTTTAGATTGGTTTTACTCAATCCAGGGAAACCCATAAACTCTTCCCAAATGTCAAATTTCTGCCTTTGAGCCTCTTGCTTGGGTGCGGGCCGTTCCTGGACTTCTCAAGTCTTTGACCACTCGTTGCTGGGCGGTTTGTAGGCGTTGGCATGTGTGGATTGGCTGGAGGGATTTCCAAGAAATATTTTCATTTGTTTGCTGGACTGGATTCCTAGAAGCTAAGGAGCAAATGAGCAAATCAGACAAGTTCCAAGCGCAGCTTTTCAGGGGAGAGATGGAGAAGCAGCCTGCCTCATTTTCCAGGAGAATCGACCTCTAAAAGTATCTCTTAGCTGCTTAGGTCTCCTCAAGAAGGCACCTGTTCCACCACACCAGCAGGAACTGTATGATTTGTTGGGGGGGGGTCGGGGAACCACGGGGTAACTACACAGGATGCGTCTTGGTACGGTTCCTCAGATTGGATTTTCCTTCTAGCTTCGCTTAAAACCAAATTGGCACGCCCTCTTTGAACGGGCTGTTGAACAACAATGATGGAATAAAAACTGGGGAGTCGCGACTCCGTATGTGTAGGTGTTGAATTTTCGCTTCCTGCTTCCCATGGCGTTTCCTTTAGCACAGGCGACAAACCATTCCCCCAGAACCTGTGGTAAACAACCATTCCCTTTGTCATGGGGGCTGGGGGGGAGGGAGGGGGAGGGTTAGGGCTCCCTCCCCCCCCCCTCCCCCCCAGCCCCCATTCCCTTTGGCATGACAAGCCATTTCCTTTGACCAGCCAATTCCTTTGGCAAACGACCCACAAACCCCCAAGCCCCCCCCCCACTTCTCAGGCTTTGACCTTCGCCCTGCTCAAGTGGTGGGGCGCCCTCCGTATCGACGAGGCGCCGGCTCTTTCTTTGGTAGGTTTTGTCTTTTGTGTCTTTTTCCCAACAGCTGGAAGCTATGGGGTAGGCTATGAGGGTGTTTCAGGGTTCCCGGCATTGCCCGGGTTGTTGGGCCACCTGGGCTTATTGGGTCGTTGTTGTTTCCCTCAGGCATACAAACCATACCACACAAACGGGGACGGTGCAGAAGACGCACGCACTCGCCTGGTTTCTCTTTTAAGTTTTGTTTGATGATCTTTCGTGAAGTGCAATGATCCCAAGTGTCCAAAAGCATCCGACTTGAGGTTAGAGACGGGAAGGCTTGGTACTCGTTGTGTAATCTCTTTGGAATTGTTTCGTTTGTGTGGCTCAGTTTTTTGTGTTTTTTTTTGGGGGGGGGACCCTTTGGGATGTCCACCAGCCAGCTAGGAAGGTGTTCCCCATTGAACAATTATAGCCATGTGGTTGCCAGAATCTCAACATTATATTTAGTTTGGGTGCTGGTTGGGTTGGCAAACCTTCACCATTTTAGGCTCACAAAGTTTCAAGTTGTGTCCAATGAACTCAACGAGTAATCAACTTGTTCATGGAGAAAACAGATTCCTTCCGTTTGGGACATCACTTTTCTTTCTTCTTTTGGCCCATTTGAGTTTCCATGATGGTGATGTTTGGAGGTTGGACATCTAGGGAACCGATCAAACAGAGTTTCAGTGGGAGCAGTGACTGGGGGCCATGCCCTCGACTTCTTCAAGGGAATCAGTCATAGATATGAGGGCCCAGAGAACTATCAACATGCTCGATCGCATGATTTTGACTTGATTTGGTTTTGAATGTACCTCGCAACCTTGCTCTTTGCATCTGATGAATTTTGCCTCCCTTGCTCGTTGGCATCTTCACCCTTTTTCACCTCGCATGAAGTATGGAGCAGTTTCGCTGGAGGGGGTTGGGAGCAACCCCAGCTTGGCGGGTGTTTGGTGGTTAGCCCCCTTCCGTTTGAAAACAAATCGGTGATTGGCGTTGGGAGCCTCCGAGTTTCGCGGCACAAGTGGCTTTTTTCCTCCCCCAAACGGCTGACAGCTCTGCGTTTGGTCTTTGCCCAGATGGGCGTTTGGGGTGATGAGCAGCTTCAAAAGGAGGGCTCCAAAAAAGGGTTCGGCCATGTTGGGGATACAACCTTGGCATATTTTGGTTGGCTTCAGGATTCCTTATGAATACTATGATATATATATATATAATATACACATGTATGGGTGTATATGTGGTTTTGAGGCTCGTTGACCTTATTGGTGTTGGTTTAGAGGAACACGACAGGGAAAACCGCAGTTTGTTGGGGTCGGAATTCCCACGTCCCCTTTTGGTGGTTTTATGAATCACCTTATTTGGCCCACTGGTGGGCTTCCGTTGGTGGGGGAGGGATGGTTTGAGGTTGGATCTCTACACAACATGAAGCAGAATCTGAACGTCCAGTTTTGGGGTCACCGCGAGTGTGGTGTTTTTCAGGGCATCCATTTTAGTGCGGAGGCTTGAAAACCAACAGCGCAGCCACCAACTTTGGAAGTCCCCCCCCAATTTTGTTGGCTCACATACCCAACCTAGAGGGTCCAAATACCTTCTAAGGAGGTACCTAGACCCCTTTTTACCCCCCAAAAGCCATGCTCAGGAGGTACTTGGACCCTCTGGGCAAGTACTTTGAATGCTTCTAGGTCGCCCAGTAGTGCCCTTTTACCATCTTGTACCCTTTGTTGGGGGGAGGGTTCCCCTACTAAAATAGACTACAGCAAAAACATAGGGTACCAACTTATTCTAACCTCTCAAAACTGGGAGGACCTAGTCAATCTTCCGTTCCCCAGTTTTGACCATGGGTAACTCGTCCCATTTCGTGAAGAAATGGCTGTGGGTCAAAACCAATGGTACCATTTTGGCGGTTTTCGGTGCACCACCCATGTTGGAACCTATTTTAGTGGTTGGAGTGGTTGATGTTCCCTGGGGGCTAGCCGGGCTTTGGGTGAAAAGCCCATGGCCATTTGGGTCATTTATCGGTGGTTTTAGCCACTCATCCCAGGTGAAGGGACTTGCCAAAGCCGATTGGTTTGGATTGGTGGGGATTTGAACCCCAGCTTTTGAAGCCAGATGGGGAAGGAGGCTGGTTCAGGGCTCCGAAAAAAAGATGTCCATGTTGCAACCATTTGAACCATGGATCTTTTTCCACCACAATAAAGGAAAACCACCATTTGCAAGGCAATGTTCAGGTGTGTTATGTAACTAGGTCCCTCAGTAGTGCCCTTTTACCCTTTTTTGGGGAAAGGTTCCCCTACTAAAATAGACTACAGAAAAAGGGGGTACCCTTGTTCTAACCTCTCTACTGGAGGACCTAGGTACGGATCCCTGTTGTTGCCAAAGCCTTTGCTCGGAGGAGACGGAGGAGATGGGCATGGACGCCAAGTCCCACTCCCCCGCCAAGGCGTACGCCCTGGCGTGAGGTCAGTGAGGTCCGCAGGTCCGGCAACATCCGGCCCGGCTCGACGGTCGACGGGACGTGGAGAAAGGTGGAGGTATGCAACTTGGTGCATCTTGCCAAGGGATGTTAGGACTTTAACTGTTTGATGTTAGGACTTTAACTTGTTGCCAACTGATGGGTTTTCCACCAAGCCACTAAAAGCTCGACTTTTAGCGGGGGAGCAGAAAGCACCCGAGTGTAAATGACCTGGGCACGGATCAAAGCTGGAAGACATGCGTATATATATATATACATATATGTATATACATACATATATCATATATATATATGTATATATATACATATATACATATATATACATATTATGCATTATGTATTGTATATATACGTACATGCACGTATATCCCTAGGGGCATCATTGCCTCATCATTTCAGGTCTTTGGGGGCCCAAGAAGGGCCCTCGTATTTCGCGTCCTGGGCTCCCAGGCGAGAGATATATCTCTTGCTTGGCTGGTTTTGGGGGACGAATCGGATGAGAAGGGGTTGTCTCTATCGTATGACGTATGGCCAAGGATCGGAAAACCATTTGTCGGATTTCCGGGGCAGCCAGTTACTTAAATGAAGAATTGGTTGGTACAACTAGGACATCTATGGTTCACATCTCCAGCGATCCGCTCAACATGGAGGATGCAACTGGGATCCACTGGCGTGGCTAATCAAGGGTTCTTAATTACCTCTAGGTGTTTACATGGATTGTTCCTCCTGGTTGCCTGTCATGGTAGTAATGATGCTTAGGGTGGGTAAACATTGCAGATAAGCCAACTTGGCAAAACAGATCTGACAAACTCCACGCCCTCCGCCGAGAGATTTTCCCGCTGAAGCAAAATCACACGAAGATGCCGTCCGCGCCTTGCTCGGCAGAGGCTTCGTTTCGGTCGTCTTCAGGGGAAGAAACCAGCGAGAGAGATGTCGCAAACAGGTTTCGCCACCCTTCAAGGAGAAATCGAGAGGGGGTCATTTCAAACAATCCGTGGCTCAAACATCTGCCAGGCCCCCTGAAGAAAAGACGGGTGCAAGTATTTGGAAGCGGACAAAAACCCAACCGTGGATGTGCCAAACCGTGCATTCAGCCAGCGCCCGAATGCGGTTCTGCTTCGTTTCGCGAGGTCTGTGGATTTATTGTTTATTGATCGCAACCATTACTCACTTCCTGAGTTGATGGACTTTAAACTTTTTGGAAAGACCATTTTAGTGGTAAATAAAAAGTTCAGACTTTTTTTGGCCAGTCAACTTGGGAAGTGAGATTATAGTAGAACCAAAAGTCGATTAATGCGTTTCATTGGGTTTGTGGCGAGGCTTGATACCATTTTAGTGGAACCAAAGAAACGCCCCGGGACCCTGAATCAAAAGGAACCCTGAGGTCACCCAACATGTTTCCGCGTGACTCCACTTCCCGGTTTTGCTTTTAAATGAAGCCATCCGGTAGCTGCTAAAAGACGAATGGGGATGGTTTGCCTGGGATTGTTCAGCCCACCTGGCTGCTTGACAGCTGAAGACGCCGAACTGCCGAAACTGGACGAAATTTCTGCGAGCAATTCATCGGAGTGGAGCTGCGATGAATGGCCCCGCCCCTCAGCCCCCGAGGGCCCTGCAACGGTCCAGATGTACTGTTTGGGCCTGAAGCTTCATTTGGGCCCTCTGTGGTGGACATGAGTCATATTGTGTCCACAAGCCATTTTTGAGCGGTTCTCCGGTAAATTCGCAGATTGAATCGTCAGCCTGACAAGCATGAAACCTCCTTTTACAAGTCACATGGTCTACCAGCAACCTTTCCTGAGATTGCGCGAGGGAGAAAACGGGCAATCCTTGTATTCGACTGAAGATTTGGAGCTGCGCTGAAAGTTTGGATAAAACCATGAAGTGAGGTCTCCTTCCCAGGTCCTTTGCGTCTGAGAGTTCAGCTCTCACGAACCAAGGAAAGGGGTTCCGGTTCCGGTTCGGGAGGTGAATGAAAAAGTGGGGGCAAGCAAAACCGGGGGGCCCTGCCCGCATGAAACTATCTCCGTAGGGGTTGATTCCAGGTTCTCTTCATCCTCCTTTGCAGGAGAAGGAGCCCTCAAACAAATTGTGAGGTCTCCAAAACTGTTTCATACAGTGGGTGGACGAAATCCTGCACCACCTAAGAAACCCGAAAATGATGATTCCCCTGCAAGAAATGGTTTCCCATGGTTTCAAAGTGATGCAGGATTTTGTCCATCCACAGTAGTTTGTGTAGCCCAGGTGTGGACCAAGACATGGGCAACACACTCGAACATATCAGAGGCTCCTTGGGGACGGGGGCACGGCCGGTCTTCTACTCGCTGGAGCCAGGGTCAAATTCGGCCTGGCGAATCTTTCCCCCGCCAAAAGGCACCACGAGCCAGGCACCGAACGGATGCATATATAATACATACCATGTATGTAGATTATACATACATATATATATATATAGAAACAGGTAGACATATACACACCCATTGACACCCATCATTCTTATGTGTTTCGGGATAAGTGTATGTATGTGCATGTTCATCATATGCATATATGCAGGTATACGCAATAATATATACATGCATGCATGTGTGCATATTAAACAAAAGGTGCATATGTTGGTTTGCATGCGACTCAAATCAGCAAATGGCATGGCGTCACATCTCACTGGGAGTGAGGCCAAGGCCGGAGCAGGCTCAGCCACAAAAAGCATCGATTTGAGACTCCAAAACCAAAGGTTCTTGAACTTTGGTTTGGTGACTTCGTCTAGTGGTGGTTGGAGCCAGACAGCCAAAGTTGTAAAGCATGAAAACGCTGGGGAATTAAACAGGAACAAGTGTGGCCTTCCGCCAAAGAATGGAATACACGTTTTGGAACAGCCCTGTACTGCCAGTGATTGATCCCTAGGGAGCCCAAGACCCCAAATATGAGGGCCTTTGGTGCATTTTGCTTGGATGTTAGGACTTTCAGTTTTTGCCAGCTAATGGGTTTTCCATTAAACCACAAGTTGAACTTTCAGCAGGGGAGCAGAAAGCAACCGAGGCATGCAATCATGTCTAGAAAAGAAAGAGAGTTGTGCAACGATTGGCACTCCGCGCCTTCGACTTCAATGCGCAGAGTTGGAAGTTGCAAGTCTCTGGCTCGCGAAATTTCTGTACTGAATTCAGCCCAAAGGCACCAGCTCCGGAGCCTCACGGGCCAGTTTTGCCGAAATGGTTTCAACGTGTCCCAAAAGGATTTGTAGATCCCGGGTCCGAGCGCCTCCTGATGGCTTTTGGGTCTAAGTACCTCAGAAGGTACTTGGACCCTCTGGGCATCTTTAGACTAGATATGAAGCAGAATCTGAACCCAAGCTATTTTCGATCTTAGGGTAGACTAGTGCTAAATACATGACACAGAATCTGAAGATCTTGATTTCTGCGTATCCCAGATGTGGGCAGCGACTTTTTGCAGAATCCCCACCGTGCATCGAACCAACTGAAGCGCGGCCCCCTTCTGGACAACTTCATCCTCGAGCTCGCAAATTTCGAGGTAAAGCAAGATATTGATGAAAGTTACTTGATTCCCTACTGTGGACGCACCACGAATGAAACCATGGTTGAAACCATAGCGCTTGTTGGCATTTGTGTAGGGGAATCGAAACATTCCAGGGTTTGTTAGGTGATGCAGGATTCATGGGGAGAAACCAGAATGTTTGTTGGCATTTCAGGGTTTCTGAACGGTGGTGCGAAAGGATTTTGTCCACCCAGATCTCCGGTCCAGAATATGTAAATGTAGGCAGAATTGTCAGAATTAAGTCTCCTAGTTCATGGTTTGTAGTCTGCAAACCCCCATAGTTTGTAGTCTCCTTTGACTTAATTCCAATCCCCCATAGTTTTTGTAGACTGCACCATCGTCAGAACATCAAATTCTGTGACCCGAGGGCCGAGCTCCATAGTGGAAGTTGCACAGGATGTTTGACCAGAAAGTTTGATCTGCGAATTCCACCAACCTAAGTGTGGTATTCGTTTTTTTTTTTTTTTTTGTGAACCTTTTAAGGGGAACCGTGTTTTTTTTTTTACTAGCCCCGGCTCGGGGGTGAGCCCTGGCCAGGGGACACGGTTGGTTGGTTGGTTGGTTGGGCGGCCGCATCCCCAGCATACCCAGCATCACCGGCCTCGCTCGGACTAGGTCTGCCAATTCGCTTCGATTAGGTGGCAGTTCAGAGTTGCTCCGGGCTGGTTTCGGGGGATTGTTGGGCTTGCTGAGGTCTTATATAATGAGGGCGGGTCTGGGGTTTGCTTGGGGTTTATATCGACTCAAAGTCAACCTTAAACCTCCCCAACAGCATCCTGGACATCAGCCCTTTACAAAGCCTAAATGAACCCCAAGCAAGCCCCAGACCCGCCCTCATTATATAAGACCTCAGCAAGCTCAACAATCCCCCGAAACCAGCCCGGAGCAACTCTGAACTGCCACCTAATCGAAGCCAATTGGCAGACCTAGTCCGAGCGAGGCGCTTGTTGCCCCAACCTGAGAGGGAAGCAAGGGTTCCCAGCCAACCTCTTCAGAGCCACATGGGGGAGGCCTTGTGCTGAGCCGGGGCTAGTAAAAAGCCGGGGCTAGTAAACAAAAAAACACCTCAACCCTTTTAAGGGTGGTTCCGGATTTTTACCTCAGGGAATGGAATCACTGGGCAGATTAGATTATGTGTGTTTGGTTCCAAGTTCGTTGCCCAGATTTCAGGTACTTCCCAAGACCCGATGGCAAAACGGAGCTGGGTCTCGCACTGCCTTGCTTCAGCCCTCATTTACCTTTGGGTCGAAGAAAAACGACGCCCGGAGATGCGGCCCGATAGGGTTGACGGGCTGGTTCAACACAGGGGTGTGTCATTCTTTCCCTTTTGAGTTGGTTTACAGGGAAACCAAAAGGAGGACCACGATTTTTGGAGGTTCGCATGTTAAGCAACACTCAAAGGGAGGTCGAACAAGGGTACACATTTTAGCGGCGAAGCCCCCCAATATGATATCCACAAAGGGTGCGGCATTAAAATTCAGACCATGTCGAAACAACAGAGAGTGGGAATTGGGGTGGGAATGGGGGAATGCAGTTTTTAGTTTTCTCTGCAAGGTAGGGAACCTTTGCCTTGCCAGATCAACAGGGAACCTTTCCCCTTACCTTTCCAGCCGGCTTGGTTTATGAAATGAGAGGTAACAAACTAGAATGCGCGCCATAGGTGTCCTTTTAAGGTTACTGGTTTAGATTGGTTTGATTCTATTTACCAGGGAAACGCATCTATTTGTCCCAAAAGGTTACCTATGAGTAGCGCGCTTTTTTGCGAGTACCCTTTTGGTATGAGTGGTTAAAAACATAGTCGAATTCAAATTAGGCCAAATTCGGAAAGGACTGGATGGAAAGACATCCCAATGTAGTGGCTTGGTAGCTGCCTTCTTTTTGCTCCCCTTCCTGCTTTAAGCCAGGCAAAGCGTCTTCTCTACTTGGGTTTGCCTGTATCCAGGACATAGACCCCTCTTGAACCGCCCACATGGGTCCCAACCAGCAAGAGGTGTGGCATCCCTGTGATTCTTTCCACTTCACAACGGATCGACCTTTGGTGTTTTGGTGCCGGCCATTGTGGCGACCCACTTTTGAACGTGAATCTATGGTTGGGCACATCACGAAACAATCCTTGGGTGAAAGAAGGTTCTCAAACTAGCTCCGGGACTCAAGCAGAGCAAGTCGCGGGCCGGAAAAAAGGGAGTCAACCCACCAACTCGACGCACTTTGCTTCAGCCGCAACAGGCTCGCATCGCGAACTCCGGCCGCAACCCAAGCAAGAAGCCTGTTAACCTATGGCCACCGTCTATGCGACAAGCCCAAGTTCAAAAAGCAAAAATGCATGGGCGTGTGTGTGTGTGTGTGCTTTTGAGGGTAGGGCGAGTTCCTGCTTGTTAAAACCTGAAGCTACAGTTGGCCAGAGCCCATAATTTTGTTTTGCCAAAAGGAAACCTGAAAAGGTGTATTGGTGTATTGGTGTATTTGCTATTTCTTCATTTTCCCCGACTTCTTATCTAACGCCAAGTGGAAAACCGCCGTCTAACGCCACTTTGGCCATGCCCGGATTGTTTTTTTCGCGCGGAAAGCCACAGCTCTGGTTCTTGGCTCAGACCCAAGCGGAAGGGATCCTGTGCAGTCGAGGCTGGGAAGGAGTGGAAGGCGCCGGGGGGGCACTCAAGGAGGCTCTCGATGGTTTTGGGGCCTTCAATCAACCTGGTTTTGAGAGAAGCCCATGTGCGTTGGAGTTTAAAACTAGTTAATTACTGGTATCATGTTGGGGTAGGTGCACCACATTTTAGTCTATTTTAATGGGGATTGGGATGTTCACTGAGGGTACGATTTGATAATAGAACGGGCTTGGTGCACCACGTTGTTTTATGTGTCTTGGTGGCTCCCAGCCATCCCCTTAGCTTTTTGGCATTTTAGTGTTTAGTGGTTGGGTTTCCAGTTTAAACACTTTTAGCAGGGGATCTGAGGGCAGCCCAGATTTGTTTTTCTTTCCCTAGGAGCCCCTTTGACCTGATTATTTTTGTTGGCCTTTGGGGGTTCAAGCCCCTCATATTATTATTTTGGGGCTCCTAGGATTTGTTTCTTACCCAGAGGCTCCCGATGCAGTTTGGGGCATCAAAAACGGGTTGTTTTTGAGGGCCCTCCATTGGGGTCTGCATTGGAGGCCCAGTTGCCCAGAGTGCCCTTTCCCCCTTTTTTTGTGGGACGGGTTATCTAAAGTCCACCCACCAAAAACAGGATGAGGGGTCAGAACCCGGGCTTCAGGATTTTCCGAACGGTCAGCTGCCGGAGGCCATGAAGTGGTACGCCTTGCCGCTCCTGGCCACTGGGGCCGCTGTCGGGGGGCCCAGTGAAGTGGGGAGGCGTGGGGACGTGGAAGAAGCACCCACTGAAGCAGAAGCTCACAGAGGGGTGCCCCGAGTGCAGATCCAAGGAATGAGCCATAGTAATGATTGTTCTTTTTTTGGGCTGTGAAGTTTGGTTGTCATTCCCATGGGGCTGCAGGCCAGTTGATCAAGCAGGTTGTTCCCCACCCGACAGGAAGGGGTTGTTAGAATTTATGTTGGAATCCGCGATTGCGATGCTTCTACACCACGCCCCCACCCAGTATCTTGCCAGAGCAGCTCGTCAGTGGATCCCGCCGAGTATCCAGCCACGGCAGCTCGCCAGTGGATCCCGCCGAGTATCCCGCCAGAGCAGCTCGCCAGTGGATCCCGCCCCAGTATCCCACCAGAGTAGCCTGCCGAGTATCCCGCCAGAGCGGCTCGCCAAGATAACCCCGCCCACGCAGAGGTAGACTTGGTCGGGCTCGGTTTGCGTCGCAAGGCGGAGAGCGCGGCAAGTCCAGCGCGGCTCGCCAGTGGATCCCGCCGAGTAGTTCGCCAGAGCGGATCGCCAGTGGATCCCGCCAGCCAGTGGATCCCGCCGAGTATCCCGCTGAGTGTCCCAGAGTAGCTCGACAGTGGGTCCCGCCGAGTATCCAGCTGAGTATCCCCAGAGTAGCTCGCCAGTGGATCCCGAGTATCCCGGCAGAGTAGTCGCCAGTGGATCCCGCCAAGTATCCCGCTGAGTATCCCTTGCCGGTGGATCCTGCCGAGTATCCGGCCGGTATCGAGCCGGAGCGGCTCACCAGCATTCGCCAGTGGATCCCGCCAGAGCAGCTCGCGTCTGGTTTTGCTTAATGTCGCGCCCGGCGCACAGTTGGGTTTACATTTCATGTTGGTGCTTTCGTGTTTTGAGTGTACCCTGAGGCTCGGAAAGGGTGATGCTTTTGTGTTGCTTTGGGTTGTGAATAAGCAACTTTGTTTAACCCCCGTCAGGTTTCTTTTTGGAAGGGACTTGGCTTTGTTAACGGAACCGATGTTTGAGTTCTCGAGATCGGCTCGCAGACAAGTGGAGTTTGACGCACAGACAGGTGGATAGGGCTCTCAATGAGAGCAGTCCTAGGCCCCAAGCCACTCGAAAACCATATAGGGGGTGTGCCCTTTCAGTGGGGATTCGGACCACTTTTGGAGGGGTCTCCACTCCCGGGTTCTACTTAGATGCTGGGTCAACATTAGCGCAGGGAATCGTTGGAAGGCCACTACGTTTGACTCCTCAACAGTGTTTGGTGGACGGTGAGACTCCCTACCTAAATGGCTGTGGCTCACAATGAAATCATCATGGGGTCACAGGTTTACCATTTACCAGGGTTTCCTTTTTGTGGGTACGTATTTTTGTCCCACAGCCACAAATGATGCTCACCAAAGGTTCAGTAGTTGAAATGGAGACCCATTTTGACAGGCCCCCTTATTCTGCCCCCCCATGTCTTTGGCTCCATGTCTTTGGCTTTACAGCTTCAGTAGGGACTTTCATGGTCCATTTTGAGCAGCGCGGTTGAAAACATAGTTTTATTTGAGCAGCTTGTTCTACTACTTTGCTTGGAGGGTTATAGTAAACCCAGTTTCCAATCGACCTGGCTTCATAGACTCATAGCGGAAATTCCATTCCCTGGTTATGGGAACTACCCTTGATCAGCTTTTTCCTTAGTTTGGTTTAGTGGTTCGGTGGTCACAGCCATGGCCCTCGTTTCTTACGAACTAACGATTGGTTACCTAAGCGGGAAGGCCTCGTGGCAGACACGGCCAGCTGTCAGGCTTTCGCTTTCGCATAGCGCTGTGGTTTCGAGATACACACAAAGTTTCCTGATAGTAGGTGGGTCGCTGTCTTTTTTTGAGCTTGAAACATGGGTTTCCCTTTCAAGTCTCTACCCCTCTTGGGCTCCAAATATGAGGGCCTTGAACTCTTAAAGGCCTCAAACAATGAGGTCTTGGGCTCCTAGAAATTTCCCCCCCCCCCCCCCAATCCTCGCCAGCTGGTTGAGTTGAATCGGGACCTCAGGTCGCTGCCGGGCAGAGCGAGCTGCTGGCAGAGCTAAAGCAGCTGGAGTCCGAGGCGGGATCGGGCTCCTTTGATAGGTGGGTCTGTCGATTTGGTTTTTTTAAGAGAACCCCTGGAGTTGTTTTCCTTAAAAGGGTTTCCTGTAAAAACCCAGCCAAGAGAGGAACTAGTCCACCCCCAAAACAGCAAACAAAGACAAGAAAGGCGAGGCACAGCCGGAAACCAATGAGCAATGCCGGGGAGTCCAAGCTCGGATTCCCCAACGTGTGGTCCTTCACGCACCAACCTTATGGGGCAAGGGGCATTCCCCGCCATTCCACCGTGATTTTTTCAGGCCCCGCGCGAATTTCTGTGTGTTTTGTCAATCCCTAGCAGCCCCATGGACCCCAAAAATATGAGGGGGGAGGTAGCGAGCACGAGAGGTCCTAGCTGACATACAGGCGCTCGAGGAAGATGTACGCGGTTCAGTAGCCTCACCAACAAGCAATCCTATAGGCCTTCTTCCCACACAGGTTAGATTCAGGCTTGCAGCAAACCAGATGAACAGGTTGCTTCAGGAACTGGGACTTTGGCCGCGTTTTCAATTAGGAAGGGACAGGTTCCCCTTTGGTTTCCCGTTTAAAGGCAAGCCCAAAACAGGTACCCTTCAATAAATGACAGACCCATTTATTTGTGTGAGCTACCTTGTTTGCTGGTTGGCTTAAAGCGAAAGAAGGGAAACCCACATTTTGGTTGCAGCCCAAGCCATCTGACACGTACGCCAAAAACCGTTGCAGGATTCTGGGGTAGTAGACGTGTGTGTGTGTGTGTGTGTGTGTGTGTCTGTGTGTCTGTGTGTCTGTGTGTCTGTGTGTCTGTGTGTCTGTGTGTCTGTGTGTCTGTGTGTCTGTGTGTCTGTGTGTCTGTGTGTCTGTGTGTCTGTGTGTCTGTGTGTCTGTGTGTGTGTGTGTGTTTTTGCCGGGAGTGTCACTTTTGGTGTCGCTTTAACATCGGCAAACAAAGGGTAGCCTCAAAACTAGCTGCTACTTGCCATTGTGCCCAACATGTTGGGTTGATGGCGGCCTGAGGCGCAGGTGCAGAGGACGCGAAGTCCGGAGTATGCAAATGCACGTTGTTTTAGGGGGGTTACTGGCAAACTCGTGTTTGGGAACTCGGATACACTGCGTCGGCAGGCGTGGCACATCTCACACGCGCTTGCATGGTATATGTGGTCTCGGGCAAAGGCCCTGCAGGCGCAGCATGTTCTCGAGCACAATATGGACGCGCGCATGATGGTTCTTACAAGGGCTAGCTGCGCGTGAGCTACCTTTTCTGCAGCGCGTTCATAGATCCAGCACCCTCCATGCACTAGAGCTGCTGCCGCGGGCCGTTTGAGAGCCGACCTTTAAGATATACAAACCTCTCATCGACATCTTTGCTTGTGTGTTGCGCGGGCGCGGCATGTTGGCGACTGCGAACTGCTGCGTGCACTCCGTCTACTCCCGGAATCCGTGATGGAATGACGCGCGTGTGAAAGGTATGGGGGTTGACTTTCTGTGATACCGATCTGATTGGTCCAATCACCTTTGAAAGAAGCGAAGTCATCGGAGTTCAGCACTTTGGTGGGAGATATCCCAGACGCATGTTTGAAAGAGGGCTGCCCTCATGAATGGCTTCTTTTCACAAGGGCACGCGAAAGTAGACGGCACACTTCCAGGGAAAACTGAAGCAACGTGGGAATCAGAGTTGTGCCTACTTGCACCCATACTCCCCCAAAAACGAACAAGCGCGCACACACACAAATGAGCCACGGACAGTCCCAATCAGAATTGAATTGGATGCGGCCGCCTTCTTTTGTTCTTTACATTGGTTTGGGTAGACCTTTTTAACACCTCTTCCATGTCCCTGCTGCCAGGTGAATGCGCAACAGCAGCTGATCAAGGATCTCGTCGGTGTTCCTGTCACTTTTTTGCGTAACCCATGAAACGGGACCCCGTTTTAATCCCTTGGTCCGGGGCCCACTGCAAATCGCGAACCCCAAAGATCATCGGCCCTTTGTGCTTCCTTTCGCCGGGCACCTGTTCTCAGTTGTTCAAAACCTTCTGCTTTTCCATGTTGATCCACTTTTAGAAAAGGTCCCAAAAGGTTAAAGTTATATCTGGTTGGACATAACTCCCCAGCGATTTTAACATCGCTCTAATCGAGTCGCCCGAACCGAGTCGCCAAACAATGGAGATAGACTCGTGTTGCGAACAGATTATATATATATATATATACCACCACCACCGCATCCTCCCCACCGCCACCACCGCACCCGCACCCACACGCCCACGCCCACGCCCGCGCCCACGCCCACACCCACCTACGCCGCCACCACCACCACCGCCACCGCCACCGCACCGCCACCGCCCCGACGGTTGGACACCTGCAGTTCTTTGTTCGAGGACCAGCAGGAGTTGCTCGACTCGTATGAGTCCCACCAGTCCCGCCGGCTCCAGACAATGGTGAACGAGACCTACTTCAACTCCACGGCGGGAGTTTGGTCAGATTGGGTCAAGGTTGCCTGTGGGCTTAGCTTGGGGGCTGAAAATCCGTTGGGCTTTTGTAAACGTTTGTAAACCAGACCCTGACCCTCGGGATGTTTAAACAGGGGGTTGGCCCAGCCCTGGTTGCAATGGAGGAGAACGACGAAACCATGTCCAACAAGAATCGGCCAAAGGGCATTCCACCTCCTGGACTCGCAAAGTCAACGGGCTGGCACTGCTGAACTGTGTCTACTTTGGAGCCACTCCTTTCGGGGTTGAGGGAAACTCAAAGTCCGGAAATCCCAAACGGACGCCAAGCAGTCGGTGCTCTGGGTCCACTCCATCGGAAAGTCCATGACCTGGCTGTGAATTGGACCAATGGCCAGCTTCAATCTTCCGGGGCTCGCTTCAATCTTCTGGGGCTCGCGGTCAACAGCTTTGAGGCTTTGAGAAACAGACACCACCCACCCTCACGCTTTTGGATGTTGGGTCGGCAAGCGCTGGCGCAAGACGCTTAGCAAACAACAACACGAGCGCGACGACCAAAGCGCGCCCGCACTGACGTTACGCTCTTGGATGCTTTTGGGTCCATGGCAAGCGGCTTCTGAAGTGTTCGCTTGTCTTGCGCTCAGGTGGAGGCGCTCCAAGCCAAGGACTATTCCCTTGGTGGCGCCATGGACTCCGCGTGGCTCTGCCTCTGCGGGGCCCTGGCCGGGGCCTGAGATACGGATTTTCGGGCGAGCCGGAAACCGCAAGACCGGTAGGTCATACCTCGATGTTTCAGTGATACCATTCATATCCTGGCACCCAGTATTTTGTTGGACTCTATTACTACTGAACAGGTTTTTGCCTTTCCAGGGGACTCGAGCCAATGGATGTCAGCCAAGCTTGTTTATCCAACCTCCTTCTGGTTCCCCCTAGAAAAAGGCCTGAAAAGGGGGTCATCATCCAACTCTTGCAGCCCCGGAAAAACCGATCAGGTCATGTTCATGCACGCCGGCTTCGCGATGCTGGAAACGGGCTGCTGCCGTGCAAAGAACGCGTCCAACGTGCTCATGAAGAATTTGGTCAACGTGTGTGTGGGCACCTTGGGCTGGTGGAGCTTGGGATGGGCCTTTGCCTACGGCGCGCAGAACGGCAATGGCTTTATCGGCACCACCGGCTTCTTCGGCTGGGATTTCTACAGCCAAGATGCCACCACCGGGGTGATCACGCCAGTCACCTGCAACGGGGATGGCTGCCAGAGCACCATGCTGAGCTGGTTCTTCCAGTGGGCCTTCTGCACAGCAGGCGCAACCATCGTGAGCGGAGCAGTTGCGGAGCGCGTGAAGAGCCCCACCTATGCCGCCTACGCCTTCTTCATGACCAGCTTCATCTATCCCGTCGTTGCACTGCTAGATTTAGCATTCCTTTTCGATTGCGCCTTGTTGGTACTGCAGCTTATTGAAAGCAAAGAGTTCCTCCTTGGTCTGGAAACCGCGGCGTCCAACTGAATTCCCATCTCCAGGCCAATAAGTTTGGCGGCTTGGCCCAACGTGCACGGCGCACTCAAACAGGCCGCCGGTTGGGAGCACTTGCTCAGGTTTCCCTTGGGTGTCAGAAACTCATTGCCTCTTTGCGGCGTCGAAGGAAACATACAGCACCATGTTGCGGTCCCTGAACTGAAAAAAAAACACCCCGAAAAGGTTCAAGCCCCTTTAGAAGAATGGTTGACCCAATGTGGATGATAAATCCTTAGGTCAACGGTGCTTGCAGTAACCCTCCATTGGTTTGAATGGTGGTTTGAACCGCGGGGATGCCTTTGAGGCCTTGGAACCGGTTCCCTTGCTGGGTTGAGACACTGAGGTTGTGGCGTGGACCTGGGGCGGTGGTTGGCTCGCCAGCATCTTCGACGTGGGCTACATGGACTTCGCGGGCTCCGGCTGCTTGGACCTCGAGTTTTCGGTTGGTTGCGCTGCAGCTCTATTTTTCAGAGGGTCCTTTGTTTGGTCTTCTGAGGATGGCTTTTGGGGGGTAAAAAGGGGTCTAAGTACTTCCTTAGAAGGTACTTCCTTAGAAGGTACTTGGACCCTCTGGGTTTGGGTGTGTCATTCTTTTCGAGTGTGCCCGTTTGTATGCTTTCAAAGGGATGCCTAACAGAAACCTCCCATCTTGGGGGAGAGGTTCCTGTGTTTCGAGACGAACCCCCTTTCGTCCTTTTTTTGAGGATCACGTTCCTTACTTTTGAGACAAACCCAGTTCTTTTTCTCGAGCATCACCTTTCCCACACACCCCTGAAACAAGGGAAGTTATGAAGGGAAAAGAGAGCCGAGCGCTTTCTTGGTAATAGGGCCCTCCCTTCGCGGTTGGTCTAAACGGGCGAGGGGTAAAACCAAACAGTTGGGTGTCCCGGTTGGCAATTCCATGGTCCGCAAACTGGACTTGAAGCATCGCCAGGTGTGTTTCTCCTTCCTTGGTGGGGCAAAGGGCGAAATCTAGGCCCGGTTGAGGTGGTTACATCTTGAGGGGCTTGTTTGGCAAAAAAAATAGGAGGGCTTTACAAACAGGGGCCCGGTCGCTGCTCCTTTGCTTCGCAACTTTGGCCAAGCACCCGGGTTTCACAGCCTACTTTTTCCAAAGCAACCATCGATCGGCTGCTATTTGGATGGATCTTCATTCAACCTTTTGACAAGGAGTACCACCTTGCCACGAACTCAGCAACCAGGCGATCACCTGGACTAGTTCAAAAAGGAAAGCTGGCGGAAACCAACTCATGTTCGGGGGCCAGCTCGGCAAAAGTCATAAATCCTTCGTCCCCGCTGGCCTCGCGTGGCTCGGGTGCCGTTTGGTCGGCTCGGCTTTCACTCCTCGTCTCGTGGACTGTGAGGAGTGGTGCATCTGACGGGGGGCGTCAGCGGCCTGATGGGCACCATCGTGCTGGGGCCGAGGAAGGGCCGCTTTGTGAGTCCGGAGGCGCGGTGCTGGTGGTGGGCCGGGGGGGGCGGTGGGGCTGGGGTGGGGTGGGGTTGGGTGGGGTGGGGTGGGGTGGTGGGGGGTGGGGTGGGTGGGCGGGGGGCGTAAAACACACGCATGTTTGAGGAATGGCAATGACGCTTTTCAGGTACTTTGGGCTAGCAAGAGGTGTAACTCAACGTGTTCTGTTCTGTCATTCGTGTGAATAAGCATTGAAGGCACCTCTCGTTTGTGGACTTCAAGACAAAAGGGACATTGCGTTGGCCCGCATGGTTGAACACACGCCAATGTATATATATATATATATGTATATACACATTCAATATGCACATAACGACATAACGTATTTCACACATGTGGAGCCCCCAAAATGACTTCGGTTCTCTATTTGTGTGCCCCTTTACCAGCCAACAAGGGGTTCCCTGCAAAAGAGACAGAGACCCACACCAAATGCAGCCTTTGATTCAGACCCACTTGAACAAAACAAATCGACCAGATCTGACGCTTGGTTTCCTTTTTAGTCACCCCAACCCGCATTGCCAGATTTCATGTTCTTTATACTTTTTGGGTTTGTGCCTTTTTAGTGATTCAGATTTTTGGGGGGCCATCCACTTGTTCGGAAGTGAGCAGGGTTGTGGGATCACTCGGGGTTCCAGCCCACTTCCGTACTTCTGTGATACAAGTTGGAGTCTCCCTCCTTTTTTCCGGGGGGTTTGTCTTTGTGGCTAGGCCCTTTCTGTATCACAGATTGGTTTCACCCCACAACCACGGCCCTGCCAAGTTCAGAGCCGGATCGGGGTGGTCCCACTCAAGATCCGGCGTCCGCTCCCGCACCAGGACTTCGAGCCTCACAACCTGCCGCTGGTGGTGCTGGGCACCTTCGCGCTCTGGTCTCCTGGTCTCTACCAGGTGTTTGACCCCAGATTATAGACTTAAGCTTAGGGGTGGGTTCACAACCCAGGTCATTATTTCATTTCCCGCCAAAAAGGGAACCTGTGGGTTTAAGACCCAGTAAACCATTACTTCATGATCCCCAGCAAGGGACCCCCGAAAGGGTTTATAGGTATATCTTGGGGCGGTCAAAAGGTGGGCAACTCTGTCTCCAAAGCGAACCGCAGATCTTCTCGGCTTGGAAGAAAGGAAGTGCCTGAGGACTTTAAACGAGGTTGTCTGTGTTTATACAAGGGCGCAACCACGATCATCCTGCAAAAGCTACCTGCCCACTTCTCTCGCGGATATTTTTTACACAAGCCTTACACGACAGGACATCCCCTTCTCCTTTTTTAATAGTCAAGGTTCCAAAAGGTTCACCTTTGGGCAAGTGAGACATGGTTCTGTGAGGTTGTGCCTGCCTTTAATCCCATTGGGTTTTAGCTAGCCCCACTTTCTGTGATAAAATTAATCATGACAGGTGACAAAGCAGTCACCAAGATGGCCCACTTTGCTTGATTGCTCTTGGGTTTGATCTTTGGATCTTAACTTTTTGGGAAATGAAGGGTTCTCACTTTTGGCGGAAGGTCCAAGTACCTCCTAAGTATGGCTTTTGGGGAGTAAAAAGGGGTCGTTCAGTACCAAGGGACCCTCTGGGATTTTGCAGAGACGGGTCAACAGCAACCCAGTTGGATGTTAGGACTCTAACTGTTTGCCAACTAGTGGGTTTTCCGAATTAAACCACTAACAGTTATTCACTTGTAGGGCTTCGCAGATTTCGCAACCGAGGCAACCACGTTTGGACAGAAAACAAACACGGCAAGGGTCTTTGGGTCCGCTAGACTCAGCACGAATGCGGTGGATGAACCGTCCTTTACCCAGTTGCCCAGTAGTGCACCTTCTGGTGGTTCTTTTTTTTTGGGGGGGAAGGGTTCCCACTGAAAGTCAACCGACCAAAAAAAGGATGGCCTTTTTGCACATGGCCACTGGGCATCTGAGTTTACATTGGGGGAACCAATGAACAAATACGATAAATTTGAACGTGTGAAACATTTCCCATGGTCATTTGGGGCCCAGAAATATTGATCAACCTCCACGTCCTTCCATTTGCTGAAACGTGCTGTTTTCTTCCCTGTTCATGTTCGAGGGGCTGTCAAGTTTGTTTCTCCAGCTTTTTTGTCCCAGAAAAAAACAAAAATAAAAGGGGCGAATTGCAAGGGACGGGTCTTCCGCCCAGGTTCGGCTGGTATGGCTTCAACCCAGGCTCCACCCTTGGCATGAAGAGCGCCAACGACGGCGCGATGGCGGCGCAGGCGGGAGTCGGGAGAGACTTGCGCTGAGTTTGGCGGCTGGGAATGAGTTTGGCGTCGGGATCTTTTGGCGGGTGGGTCGTTCCCATAGGTGTCCTTTTTAGGTTAGTTTGGTTACAAATAGAAGGCTTCCGCTGGTTTAGATGGGTTGGATTAGTTTGGCTAAAAATAGAAGGCTTCCACTGGTTAGATGGGTTGGATTACATTTACCAGGATCTATTTTTCCCAAAAGGACAATTGGTTGTTCCCTCGTGGCCTGCGGCTGAGTTTGCTTGGGATTTTGAGAGCCCTGTTAAAATGAGAAGAGCGGAGCTTGGAAGAACATAGGTGTCGGCGGCGTTGCCTGAGAAATCCAAGATGCTTGTGAGTCACGACCGCCACATACCATCCGATTTTGATCTCAACAAATGCCCCAATGCCGACTCAGGACATTTGACTCACATTTGGACTCCAAAAGATAGACGAGGGAGTGTCTTTTTTAAGGCAAAGGGATTGTCCTTTCGGTTTCCCTTGAAATCCACCAACAAGGAGTGCCCTCAAAAAGCACACCCAAGAGAACACGTTATATAGATGCTTTTCAGAGCACCATAGTTGACTTTTTGACTTTCAGCAGCATTAATCTTATTGTCGTCACATTTGAATCTTGTACGGAAGGCTAATTCTCCGATCACCGTGCGAATTGTTGAATCCAATGGCAAATGGACAGCCCTTATCAGAACCCTTTAGCGTGAGGCCGGCGAATCTGCAGAACCTTCCCAGGATCCAGCGCTCACGGGTTTTGTTGGTGAAGCCCAGCGAAGGGAACCCTGAAGCAGTGATTCAGAAGCGGAGCCAGAGGTTCCCCAACAATGAAGCAAAACAGACCCTGAATGATTCGTCCCCCAGTAGTGCCCTTTTACCGATTCTTTTTGGGGGGAGGGTTCCCCTACTAAACTAGAGTACGAAAAAAGGAGAATGTCTTCTGAGCACCATATCAGAGGAACAGGTCTTTGAGTTGTTTTTTCAACATAGGGAATCCCTAGGCCCTAGAAATCGGTGGTTTCCTTTTGGTTTCTCGTTAAACCCATCCAAAAAAGTTTGCCAAGCCCTCAGACGGAAAGTGCCTCCCCCAGCCCTACTTTGAGATCCGCACACTTTTTGTGGAGTGACCCGGATTTCAACATGTTTCAGGGCTACCGCCCTGGCTCTTGTAAAGAGTATCGCCTAAAGCAATAAGTCGTTAAGCAAGACCATGGCGAAGCCTCCATGGGATATGGGATCGCTCAAACTAGGGCAACCGGCAACGTGCGCCACCCAAAAAGGGGTCATAAGCTATTTTGATGGTTGTCCTCGTGGTTTTCCACCAGGCAGCAAAGGGTACACTCAACAAGAGGCACGCCGATACCATGAATGTATGAGGGTTGTTCAAGATGTCCTTCACATCGAATTAGCTCCCCCCTTTTTCTTGTTTTTTGTTTTTTGGGGGGACTGCATTGTTAGTCCACCAACCATGGCATAGCTTCTTTGAGGGTCCTAATTCTCGCCAAGAGAACATGCGTTCAAAACGCAGGTGGCCATGAACACCACCTTGGCCGCGGCCACCGGGGGCATCACCGTCTTCATCCTGCGCCACCTCGCGGCAGAAGACTAAAAATACATCCACACGGATTCCACCGGGGGCGCAGACTGAGATGTGGTTCACTCACGTTGTGTCTTGGTGTTTTGTTGGGCGGGGTGGGCCGAACAACAAGTGGGGGGTCGGGGTTGTTGTTCGGCCGAACAACTCCACGCCCCCCCCTCCACTTGTTCTTCGAACCCCCCGGGGGGGGGGGGGGGTCGAACAACAAGCGGGGGGGATGTGTTGTGTGTGTGTGTGTGTTTTTTTTTTTTTTTAAAGAGACAGCTTAGGGGTTAGATTCAAGTCAGTATTGGCGAAACAATTACTTGTAAGTCCCCCGTTCAGTGGGGTTAAGCTTGTTAATTAGGGGGTGAAAAACTTCAAGTGGCCCACTTGAGAACTTGGCAGACCATTCAAGCGGTTCCCGGGAACCCTTGGGATGCTCCGAGTGACCACTTTTTGACCCAACAGCATCCTTAGGATTTACCAAGGGGGCCAAACCTCATCTTTCTGGACCTCATTTGCCTCAGCCTCTGAAAGGGTAGAAACATGGGTTCGATTCCTTTGGTTTTTTTCCATCTAAGCTTGCCTTGCAACCATCGATTTGGTCCTCGGAGCAACACTGACCCAGAAGAAGCAACCATGAAGATGCGTTTGAGCATGGCAAAACACATGGGGTCTCATTTTTCAGACGCCCATTTGCTTCAAGGTAGATCATTGTTCAAGGAAGGTCTGTTTCAAGGAAGCTATATACCTAGAATCAGTGTCTGTGATGGGACGCCTATTTACTACAATGGACTTTAAACCCCACTTCAGACATGATAGGAGTAAGCTAGGTGTATGCTGCCCCTTGTACTTGTGCATAACAGGCCGGTGGTTTTGTAGAAATGGCCGCAGCCCCGGCCATGCGGAGCGCAGAGCTAAAGTTTGGGCGGAGGCCTCGAAGCTTTCTGGCGTCTGATGGAGCTGGAGCCATCCGTCTGCCAATCTTTTAGCGAGCCCACCGATTCGGGGGTACAACGAGCTCACCAAGAAAAAGAGGTCCTTTGCGTGGGGGTCCAGTTCTTAATTCAGCTTTTGGCAATATTGTAGAATTTGCACATAAGTGTCCTTTTGATCGGTTCGTTTGGTTAGAAGTAGATGTGTTCTACTGGTTTAGATTTCGGATTTCTTCCATGTTGCAGCGAAACCCACTCATTTTTCCAATCGGTTACCTACTATGGGTGGACGAACTCTTGCACCCCCTGGAGGATTCCCCATCAAATACCAACCAACAATGGTTTTCCCATGGTTTCAAAATGGTGCGAACGGATTTTGTCCATCCACGGTATGACTGGAGGTTCTCTCAGTTGTTCAGTGGCACCCTTTGTCCCTCTATTTTTGGCGGCTGCCCCACCAAAATGGCCTTCCCCAACACTTTTGGCCTCCATTTTTTTTCTTCTCCAGGGTCACTGAACCACTGAGTCCTCGTAGCCCCGGTGCCAAATTCCCCGGACACCCCGGAACCGGCGAGGCTACTGCATCCTGAGGAAGTACGACGTGGGGGGCCTGTGCAACGGCATCCTCGCCGGACTGGCGCCGCGGCCATGGTCCTACCCCGGTTGCGCCCAGTAGCGCCCCGTGTTTTTTTTTCTTCAGCTTTTCTTAGGGGAAGGGTTCCCATTTAAGGTCCTTTGCAACCAAGAAAGGGATGCCCATGTTTTCCCAAGGCCGCCGGGCATCTGAGTGTCTGTGTGTGCGTGTGTTTTCTTTTCAAGATGGTGAGGGGAAAGCCAATGGAAGCCACCCCAAAAAAAGGATCCACACTTTCTTGGCAGGCCTAGGTTAAGAAAAAACAGGACTTAAAAAAAAGAAAAACAACTGATCTTTTTTCCATTGAGCGCATCTGACAGTTTTTCCGATGATCGAAAACAGGCCAGGTGTCCAGCCTCGGTTTCCTGAGGCTTCAGAACAGTGACAGGCCCTTCGGGTCTTTTGTTTTAAATGGGTGGCTGAAAATTAAACAGGAGGGCTTACGCAGGGTTTGGTCCATGTTTCCACATACCAGGGCAACCCATTTTGGTACCCATTTTTTGAGCAGCCAAATAGGCCCAGCAAGCCCAACCAACGTCCCCCATTTCCATTTCGCGGAAGCCTCGTTGCAAGCTGCTCCTGAAATCCGAATTATCCAGCCTTGCGCTTGGCCCTGAAATGTTCCCAAATCCACCTGAGTCACAATCAAAACCCGGGTAGATGCAGGTTCGCAAGGATAATCCCAACCATAAATGTGCGCCTTCTTAAGAAGATTTTAATGGTGACCAATTCTTTCTTCTGACTGGTTTCTCCTTCCCAAATTTCACTCCCTCCCATTTTCCACGGGTTGAAGACTTCCCCCTTTTTTTTGTTTCTCCTTTTCTCACACCGCGCGGGGCCGGCGCGGGGTCCTGACTCGGGCTTTGAGACTTGAGGTGTCCATCACCGCGGGCTGCGGGAACATGGAGTGCGGCTCCGCGGTGACCACGGGGTTCATCGGCGCCTTTGTGTACCAGGCCTGCCAATTCGAGCCAGCGGTTTTGCGGTTTTGCGGTTTTGTGTTGTTTGCGCGGGAAGGAAGGGGGGGGTGTTTTGCTTGCTTGCTTCGGGGCGGGGGTTTGTTTAGTTTTCTTTTGTGGCTGTTTTTTGGGGCGTTGCGGTTGCGTGTACCAGGCAAGTGAGCGGCACAGTGAGCGATGTACGTGGGCGTTTTTTTGGGGGCTTTTTTTTGTTTTTTGCTTGGAGGCTCGTTGCTTGCCAAGACGGAGTTTGCGCCTTTTGTAATTATTGCTATGTGGTGACAGATTTTTGGACCTTAGCTTTTGGGTTGAAACAGTGGATTTTCCGAATTACAGTTCAACTTGTTGCAGAGGGGTCGTTACAGCAAGGTGCGGTTAGCCACTTGAATTCAGCCACTAAAGCTAACCCCACTGAACGGGAGTCCTAGAATTGAGTTGTAACCATAGATTACCTCACTTCCTGAGTTGATGGACTTTAAACTGTTTGGAAAGACCATTTTAGTGGTAAATAAAAAAATCAGACTTTTTTGGCCAGTCAACTTGGGAAGTGAGTATTACCAACCACTTACCAACTCGACCGAACACGTGGCGCTTTGGCTTTGCGCGCGGAGCGGTACGTCCAGATTTTTCCCCCGGCCCACCGGACTCAGTGGTCAAGCAGTCTCCCTATACTTTATGGGTTTCGAGCTTGCCGATTCGGGGGTAAAACAAGACCATGAGTTATTTAAGTCGTTTGGGGGTCCACTTATCTTATTTCAGTTATTGGATTCATTGCAAGCAAAAGAAACCCCAACCGTTGAACCGTTTTCTTGCAATTAGGTCTAACCCTAGGGTTGAAGAAGTGTCCAGACCTCAATTCAAGAACCGCACCAAAAGCCCCCGATGAAGCCCCCCCCCCGTTCCCGATTTGCCTTCATGCTTGGCCGATTTTTCAAGGCCCCCTCAGCACTTCGGGACAACACGATTTTCACTCTGAATGGTTGCAGTAGTGGTTTCTTTACAGGGATTAAGGATTAGAGGCACTCCCAGATATGTGACCGGCCTTTTTTGAAACCAAAAGTAAAACCACCATTTGGGGGTCCAACCTTAAAACAGAGACACCCAAACAGCTGTGGGTCAAACATAGGTACCCAACATGGAACCCTGGTAAATTGACACAGTTGGCCAACCCTCCGTTTTGACACTCCAAACGATTGCCCTTGCACACATGGACATACACAAACCTTTTGGACGACTACTTTCCTTTTGGAAACGGTGCTTTTGCACAAACATGTTTGGTGGAACCCTACGTAAATGGTTCGCCACTTGTTTTGTTCCAACCCCTAACAAACCCCCACAATCCTCGGCGAAGCGAAGAGCGGGTTTTGGGAATCACTAGCCACTGAACTCGGATTCGGTTCAAGGAACCCATCATTTTTTTCTCCTAAGAATTCGACATGTTGGATCCGCAGCAACCAGTGTCCCCGGTTGCTCGGTGCAGGCTGCCTCCATGCTTCTGCAGAAGCTGAAGATCGACGACCCCGTGGACGCCGCCCCGGTGCACGGCTTCTGCGGGATTTGGGGCGCTTTGGCCACCGCCCTCTTCGACTGGGGCAAGGCAAGGGGCTTATCCATGGGATGCGGGCACAGAGGGTTATTAGTTATATACAAATACCTGGCACCTGAAACTACTCTAACAAGGCGAATCCCCATTTTGCATGGGTAGTTTGAGGGATATTACATATTTCCATCTTGGGCAAAGTTTACTTTTGGGTAAGGTGGGGGTTGAGTCCAAAGCCTCGAGCACAGCGATTCCCATGGGCCGCTTCTGGCGGCTATCCCAGTCACCCGTGAAATGACCTTCCCGAATTTCTAGACTTGACAGTTACTCTTGAGGAATGTTGTACTGGTATTCCAACAGTTTGAATACCACTCATGCCCCTCACGTGGCTGTGGGTTTTAACCAATGGTACCATTTTGGGGTAGGTGCACCACCCATTTTAGTCTATTTTAGTGGGGATTGGGATGCCCCATGGTCATGTTTGCATATCCAACTCAATCCATTTCTTAGAACCCACTGAATGGATCGGTCAAGGGGCTCCAACCAGATCCTGGACACCGAGAAAGGGGCGACGGATTGGATTCGGTCACGGAAGTGGTCAACGGGCAAGTCACATTGCTGGGAATCCACCAACAACTACTGTGCATGGACAAAATCCTGCACCACTTTGAATCCATGGGAGACCATTATTTGTTGGTATTTACGGTGGGAATCATCCTTCCGGGGTTTCTTGGGTGGTGCAGGATTTCGTCCACCCACAGTAAAGTATTTTGTATGTTAGGGCAGACATATGAAATATAGTCTGAACATCTTATTTATCTCTGCATAGTTCAAACCGAAAGGTGACTTACCGCAAGCGGGTTATGCTTGTCCATCAACCCCTTCGGAAATGCCGGCCATTTTGCTCGTTTTTTGAAGGGGTGGTTCTCTACCTCTTTTGTTTTTGCTTTTCGGGGTTACGATAACCCTTGCATACTCGCCTTTAAGACCATGGTGGTAGAACCAACAGTCAATGGGATTCGGGCGCTACTTAGCTGGTCCTTGCCCGTTTCCCCCTGTTGGTTCTTTGTGGTTTTGAGTATGTTATTTCCTACAGAGCGGATCCAAAGTTTCGCCGCATCCGAAACCGTTTCCTAGAATCCCGAGGTAAGACCACCCAAGGTCACATCCAAGGTAGGACCACCCCAGTTGGAAAGCTGTCAATGAATGAGTGCTCGACGCGGGATTTACTCTCGGCATAACCCACTTGGCAGACTTATAAACTGGGCATGTCCCGAGGTCCCAATAGTCCTTCTTGGCTGACTTTGAACATCATTCAGGGCCATGAAGAAGACGTGTTTCCGTTGACGCTTAAGATAGAAAATACTGGACACCCTGATGATCCTGTGGATGAATGAAATCCTGCACCACCCAAGAACCCTGGTTTCTGATGATTCCCCCGTAAATACCAAGACACGTTATGGTTTCAACCATGGTTTCGTAGGTGGCGCGAACGAATTTCGCCCATCCGATCCATGGGTTTTTTTCCTGCGAGGGCATCGACAACTACCACGGCTGGAGCGGCTGGGACTGCATGGCCGCGAATGGCAGCTGCAGGCCGGGCATCGGCGGCACAGCCATCGGCGCCCAGCTCATCATGATCATCATGATCATCGCGCCCCGGCGTTTGTTTGTGTTTTTTTTTTGGGGGGGTGGGGGGGCCAAAACATGGGTAATGATGGGTAGATACCATAGGGTTTTGCTTAAACTCGACATGGGTTTTGCTTAATCGTAAACATGGGTATGATCATCGCGCCTCGGGTTCACAACACAAGCAGAAACACAACAACAAACGCGGCGGACTCCTGGAGATTCGGCTTGTGGTGTGCGTTCCGCTTTTGTCTCTTTTTTCTTGGGGAGGGTTGCTTTTGCTTTTCTGGGGTCTCCTCAGGAAGAGATATGGCCAAATGTGATACAGCTTCTGATGGTTATTCTCCGTTGGCAAGATGGTTTCCACTGCCGAAGCTACCCGCTACGTATGTGGGTTGTATACCCCATTTGGGCGATTGTTTTTATTTGTGTTTGCGCGGCAGCACACATTGGTATGTGTGTTTTCTCGCCGAGGGGCGTGGGGCACATAAGCTTACTTCCTGAGTTTCTGGACTTAAAACTTTTCGGGAAGGCCATGTTAGCGATCGACAAAAGTTGTTTTTTGCCAATCCCCTCAGGAAGTGAGTAGAGGGCCATCTAGTTTTGCACACTACTTTTTCTCACAGTTGAGTGCCAGCCTTTTTCTCCCTTTGGCTGACGCCAAAAGCGGCCAACCCTAAAACAGGTTCCCTTCGACCGTCGGCGTAAAGCCGGGCCTTGTTTGTATGTCAGTTGCCACTGCACGATATTAGGTTATCAGCCATGTCCCTTTCAGGGTATCCCGTTTTTTGCTGTTTTCAAGGAAATCCGAAAGGAACACCACCATATTTTTTGGGGGGGAGGGGTCTTCCTAGAAAACATAACTTTGGGAAATTCCGGTGACTCACCGGGCGTGTTAATTTTTTGTTCCCCTCTCTTCGGTGCCCCCTCCGTGGCCGTCTTGCGACCGAGGTGTGGGCGGGGGGCCTCTCGAGCATCGCCTTCTTCCTGCTGAAGCTCACCGGCACGCTCCGCATCTCCGAGGATGTGGCGCCTGGGCCGTAGACATTTTTCGAAACCAAAACCCGACTGGTGGACGAATTGTGTGCACCTGAAAAGCCCGAAAATGATTCGATTCACCTGTACATAGCAACAGAGGTTATGGTTTCAACCATAGTTTCAAAGTGATGCATACTTTTTGTCCACAGTAGGTGCCCTTTTTGGTTGGGAGGGTTCCCTACTAAAATAGACTGCAGAACAAAGTTGGTACCCTTAGTCTAACCTCTCTACTGGAGGACCTAGAACCTGCCACGGGCTGAAAGGAACATATCGTAAGTTGTGCCCCCCGCTTGGCTGTAAGTCTCGAATCCATATGTTTCTTGTTTGTTTTTTTGCCTTGCTTTTCTCCGGGGGACGCAAACGCAGATTTTGAGAGGACACCCGCCTTTTGAGCGGCTCGAGCAATCTATGTTTTTGCTTTTCATCTGAGGCTATGGGGTCGATCTTTGCTGTTGGTTTCTGAGGGTAGTCCCGTTTTGGATTTGACGTCTTGAACGGGGATGGTTAGGAACCCGGTGGAAGCTCGATGGCTTTCTTTTTGGGACGTAGCTGCCGGGATTTTTGGAATGATGTTAAAACCGGCCAGAGTGTAAAGGGAAACAAATCCACATATATGGTCCTCCCATGATCCGGAAGTTGAGTTGAAAGCAATCCACTATGCTATTGGGCTGTGCATGTTAGCGTTTTTTGCCTTTCTTTGCGGAGGTTTTGCGCCTGTTGGTGCTTCCCAAGCCACTCAGCCAGGTCTCAGAAGCTGGTTATGTAGCGTGCCACATCCCAATGAAAAACGGGTTGCCAGGCAAGCCATGCAACCCGGGTGGTTCTGGCCAAGCAGCGAATGACAGTCGCCGCCCGAACAAAATGCGAAAAGGGACACCCCCCCCCGCCCCCCCACCCCCAAAAAAAAAAGAAGAAGAGGAAAGAACGAAGAAGACCATGCGGTTCAACTCGCCCCCAAAGCAATGGGTGCAAGCGCAGTTGGAGTCCGGCAGTTACGAAGACCCATTTCGCTGGACTGGACTGTCTCGTATCGCGGCCGTTGGATAGGGACCACCCTGGAAAACGCTTGGACAGGCACGAAAGGATGTCCACCAAATTCCTAATTCATACCAATACCCCAAGCATGTCCCGAACAGGTGTTTGGGTGCAAGTTGGAATGATTGTATTTGTCGGGACCTCTATTGGAGGGTCCGGGTAAAAAAAGGCCAAAAGACGATCGCATTCCTTTTTGGCTATTTGGCAGTTTGGCAGCGGATCTTTGGACTTTCAAGCTGTTGAAGCAGTTCTGATTTTTCGAATCGGACCCACAAAAGCTTAAACTCACTGTTCGCAGAGGGCTCGTTGCAGCAGCAATCAAGCTATGACCTTCCAACAACCGAAGAAATTGAAGCTCACTTCGCGAATAAAAAGGACTTCGGTCACTTTCTGGGAAGACCGTCTTACTGGTACATAAAAAGTTTCAGGTTGTTCCTTGTTCAGAGGGTCCCCAAAAGCCTCCTGAGGATGGCTTTTGGGGGTAAAAAGCGGTCGTTCAGCACCTCCTTAGAAGGTACCAAGGGACCCTCTGGGTTTGGTTTGGCCAACCCACCCGATCGGAAGTGAAGGGTATCCTCGGAAAGATCGCCTTCCATGGGTTTCGTTTGTTTCGGCACCGAGGAGGAGGTGGGCATGGACTCGAAGCACCACTCCCCGCCCAAGGCCTACGCCATGCAGTGAGATGCAAGCGGTTGCCTCGGGGTCCGCGTCTGGCACCTCTGGGACCAGTTTGATCTTCATGCCGAGAGTTTATTCATTTTCCCCATGTTGGTGTTGATCTTCCATTTGCTGAGAGGTTTTTTCCTCCTGTTCGTTTTAAATCGAGCTCACTGCTGGAAATAGTTTCTTGCTTTTTTCCAGTGGGCTTGTGCAAGTGGAAGTGATATGGTGGTTTAAGCGGTTTAAGCACAATTTTCGTATATAGAGTGTTTGCCTAAAAACCCGATATGTTCACATTGGACATACATGGAGGACATGTTTGATTTTGAGTGTCTGCTGTCCAAGGATGCATTGAAATATGTTTGCACACGAACACGCCCATACCCTATAGTTTTTTGAATGAAGTGGGCCCTTTGCATCAGTCTGGCCCCCAGAAGGAAAGTCTGGGATTGAGTTGTGGTTCAGAGTTGTTAGGTTCTAGCCACATGCTTTGAGGGCTTTATTGGGTTTGAAAGTTTTTTTTTCTTTTTTTTTTCCGGAAGCGCATTTAAGAATGATTTAAGGCGGTCAACGCAAAGTTTGGAAGAAATGAGTTTAGTAAAGGTTAAGCTTTTGCTTGCCATTCCCACTGAAAAAGCGAGTTGCTCCTTCAGTTCCTTCAAAATTGTTGCCTTTGCATTGCTGGAGCCCTGCGAAACTTCGAATTCGTCGTGGAGTGTGGATGAGACTGTGCCAAGGTTTTCGATGCGGAGATTTTGCAGGTAAGTGTCTGCCAAACCTACTGGTAGTGTGTTGTTAGTTTAGCGAGGGCAAGAATTCAGAATCGCGGGCCCACGTAAATGTCCTATAAGAACAACAGGTGTCAAGACCGCGCCCCAATTTTCCCATGTCCTCTAGGCCTAGGCAAAATAATCTTATCCGCAGCGCCGTGAGTTGCTTCCGGTCATGTTGATGGTCTACGTGCGAAGTGAGACCATGCCGTGCCCTCATGATTGTTTGCACCCGATTTACTGGCGGCCAATTACAAGCTTCACCATGTTCCCGACGTGCCAGTCGGATTATAGCATCGGAGCGAGTTCAGAAGCTCCCGGCTCAGTAACTCACAGTTGGTTTGCCACTGCAAAGTTCAACCGCACAAGTTCCAGCTTTTACTGTTCTGTGAGTGGGGCTTTTGGCTTTGTGGGACGATGGTTTTAGAGCTAAACCAGCACTCTGGATTGTGTTTTTGACCTGTGAATGGACAAACTCTTGGACCAGTCAGTAGGATAGCTGCGCATAATTTCCGTTTAGGTTTTAAAGGGTGGTTCCCTTCACCTGCTATCGGGGGAAATCGACTCACTGGGATCCATCTCAACTTGGCGTGCCTGGGGGAGCCACATCCGGATCCCGAAATTCCGAAGGCGAGTCGATTTTTCGGGGTCAGTCGTCATTCCACAAGGCGCTCGAGCCAGCGACCGCACGCCGAAGTTCGCGTAGTTTGGCTAGGAATCGTAAGATTGGAACCTCGAAAGTGGTCTGGTGGACATGCACCGAGTTGTGACGTGCATCAGTTTTGGTCCCCAATTCAAAATCATGCCCGTGTGGAGACATTGCTCCCCAGGGTCATGTAAGTCATGGGCGCTTAAAATCATCCCAACAAGGGCATGCGGCATGGTTTTACTCCGCAAGTCCCCCCTACTCCAAGTACCAACTTGCTCTTGGGAATAGCTGCAGTCTCCACGATCATTACCCCAAACAAAGGGACCAAGGCCCCCGTTTTAAGGGTCATGGAGACTCCAGGTTGTTTGACCAAGCTGTTTTCAGGCAAGCTAGACCCCTTTTCTCTCGGCCCCTCCAATCGCTGGGCAGCGCCTGGTGAGGAGGATCATTTGGCCATGTGTCAAAAGCCAAATTGTAGCCCCAGTGAACATCCCAATCCAACCACTAAAATAGGTTTTAAAATGAGTGGTGCACCGAACACTGTAAAATGGAATCCTATTGGGTTTGACCCACGGCCATTTCATGACTCTCAATCCCTGGCAGAAGTTTGCATTGAAAGGGCAAAGGGCCCCTTGCTGCCTAAGGGTGTTGCGGAGTCAATAGACATCCTTAGGGGCCCTTCGGGCAACTTTTCTTTCTGGGCATAGGAACGAGGGAATTAAGCCATCTGTCGAAGCAGGCGCGTGCAGTTTTGTGCTTGAAGTGCCATACCCTCACCCCCAGTCCGCGCTTGTCCGCGGTCTTTGAAAGGACCTTGCTTTTCCTCCGGCCGGGGGCCTGCCCCATCTTAGGCGTTCTTGGCTTCAGAAGGGACAAAACATGGGCGATGCCCTGACGATGGTTGCAATCATAGCCTTGTGGTTCCCTTGGAGCTCCATCCAAAGACTGCTCAGGAAGCTTCCGGTTTAAAATCACCTTTGAGTGGGTGTGTTCATTTCAGTCTTCCCGGGAAATGGTATGGACCTAGTTGCAATTCCGAAGTTAACGTCTTTTCAGTTGTCCAAAACCTACCTTTTTTGCCCTTTGGGTTTCCCTCTTTGTCTCATTCCAAACGGTGAACCTTGTGTTTCTAGGTCTGGGTTGCATCTATCAAGGAGGTTCTTGGACCTCATTTTTGACGCCTCTGGGGGTTCTCCTTGGCCCTCATATTTGGGGTCCAAGGAACTCCTAGGCTATGTTGCTGACATATTGTTGACGTATGGGTATGGGTCAAAATTAAACCACCGGGGCACCACAGGTTTTAGTCCATGTTTCCATTTACAAGGGTTCCATTTTTGGGTACCTATTCTTGACCCACAGCCGTATATTCGGGCCAAGTTCACTCTGGGGGCAACCACCCCCGACCCTCGAGCAGTGGAGCTGCGCAGAGGGCCGGCGCCTTCGCCGTGCCGCAGCGCGCCATGTGAAGCCATGGCGCCGCTCGCGGACCGCGGACGCGTCGCCGGGAATGCGTCGGAGGAGAGCGATCGCGCGCCGAATTCCTTCGGCGCGCGGCTTGGGGCTGCGCCGGAACCTCCGTCAACTGAGCTCCTTTTCCGAAACGGCGAAAGAAGCAAGCTACGTTGTTCAGCCTCCAAAGCGATTTTTGGCCGGTGGGCTTCTCACTATTTGGGGGTTCCTCCTTGTACCAAAATCGAGGGGCCAAAGTGGTTTTCTTTGGCTTTCACGCGCATCAAACACCAGCGCACACAACCACTTTGTGCTCCAGTATTGTGTTTTGCATCGAACTCCTCAGTTCAAGATGGAGAGCTATGCATTCACAATTATATAGGTTTTGTTGACATAAGAGCCTAATTTTATGATCAGAATGGGGCACTGGATGTCTTTCGCCCTTACATTGAGTCATGATCATCCCAGCGTTCCCCAACGCTTGTTTGTTCCCCTGTTCGAAATTCCAAGTGATGTCCAAGAAGAACCCCTTCAGGGGTTGCAGGTTGCAAGTGATGGTGTGGATTGTTCTTTGTGACTCGATCACGAGCCAAAAGCAGTGGGCGAATGGGACATGCTTGTGGACACCTGTTTGTTTCCACCAGTTTCAGTGATACTAAGGGAATCGCCTTTGGAGAGAAAGCGGTCACTCCTACTTGGGTCTTACAGGAAGGTTGACATGCGTCGTGTTTGCTCATGAAACAAAAAGCAAGTGGACAACGCGTTTTCGGGGTTCGCTTACGCAGTTGTTCAGTGGCACCGATTATGTTTCCCTTTTTTTGGTGGCTGCCCCACTAAAAATGGTCTTCCCAAAAAAGGGTTCCCTTTTTTTTCCAGTTGTCACTGAACAACTGAGTTACCCAGTTGGAGCTTGAGATGGATCCTTGCCTGGCGCGCAAATTCGCGCTAGTGCTGCACGCGCCGCACCAAATGCGCCTCGCGTGGCTAGGCGTGCTAGGGAACACCTCGAACATTGGCTGGTGGACAAAAGCCTGGGGTCTTCTCCAAAGCTTATTTCAGATGTAGGGGTAGACTCAATATGATTAGATTCCCCAGCGTAAATGCCAACATAGTTGAAAAAACCATGGGGTTTCTAGGTGCAAAGCAGATTTCGCAACCGTCCAGAAGCAGAATCTGAAAAACTAGTGTTTTCTGTGTACCCCAACTGAGGCTCAAGGCTTGGTGGACATAAATCCCAATGCAACCGATTCCACCGCGAGGCGCATACACCGATTGGTTTGCTGCAGAGAAACCGTCTGCAGGGCACTGCCTGCGTGAGAAAACGCCAATGTGGTCTGGCGCAAGCGAGGTCCTTTAAGTTTGGGGTCCTTTGGGTTCAAAGGGATCCAGTGGACCTACTACAATGTACCGAATTGAAGCCCCCGTTTCACGTTTCCCTTTGGAGTACCCCCAAAAGTGGGAAGGGTGGGAAGGTATTTTTTTAGGGATGTGTTGAGACTACCAAATCTGAGCAGCGCCCTCTTGCTGTTGCCTATTGCTTATTGCTGTTGTATGTGATTTCTACGTGGATGGTTGTAGTGAGGCTTAAAAACCATGCACCGGTGGAAACACCAGGTTGATGGGTTTTGGGGCACACGGCCCACGGCCTTGCCGGCCAACGGCCAAAGGCCCCGGGTTCAACCCTCGAAGCCCAAGTTGAGTTCATCAAGGGATCAGCATACTGTGGATGGACGAAATCCTGCACCATGAGAAACCATGGGAAACCCTTGTTTATTGGTATTTACAGGGGATTCATCATTCCAGGGCTTCTTAGGTGGTGCAGGATTTCGTCCATCCACAGTAGGTTTGCTAATCCTTTTCGGCGAGTCGAGAACAGAAATGGATGGCACTGGTGAACTCAATTGGTTTTATTCCATATTAGATGGCCGTGCCGTTTTTATTTTTCCAGAAGGTCAGCTATGCCAACTCTGAAGTTGTGCCCCGGGTTCTGATGAATATGGGGCCTTAGGCCCTTTCAATTTTGGAGGTGTCCCATTTAGTTTTAGCCTCCTTGTTCATTGAACATGGTTCCGGCTCAAATTCGCCGGAGGAGCACCGCCATTTAATGGTTGACCCAATTTGGGTGATGACGATCCTTAGGTAAACAACTTGAA